AAACCATTTCAGGTGACTACCTCTTGAAGCTCATGGAGAGAATGCCAAGAGTGTGCAAAGCAGTAATCAGAGCAAAGGGTGGCTATTTTGAAGAAACTAGAATATAAAACATGTTTTCAGTTATTTCACCTTTTTTTGTTAAGTACATAACTCCACATGTGTTCATTCATAGTTTTGATGCCTTCAGTGAGAATCTACAATGTAAATAGTCATGAAAATAAAGAAAATACATTGAATGAGAAGGTGTGTCCAAACTTTTGGCCTGTACTGTACATATTAAATTAAATTGCTGTGGCTAACACAAGAAAGTTTAATGGATAACCGTTTCCACTGTGGTCCTCAAGCGTGAGACTCAACTCTCATTGACAGTGAGAAGTTAAACTGTCGTCATCATGTGATTGAGAACTAAATGTAGCAGTCTTTATTTGGATGTTTCAGTGTTATCATGACTATTCAATAACTGTGTATTTACTGTATTTACAACCTTTACTTGTATATTTTGTCTCTATATCTTTGTTTTGTCAGCTGGCTGCAGCTAAAGCAAAGCTAAAGCAAGCTCAGTATTCCAACTACTAGTGTATGTCTTTTTGAAGGCTTGAGAAATGCTACCCAGAGGGCTTATTAGAGCTTGATGGGATGGTCTGTCTTCCCCTTGTTTTTTCCTTTTTCTGTCTATAACTCAACTCCCCCACACGTCCTCATCTCGTTCCCACTCCCCCTTCTCGTTGCATCTCACTCTTACTCCCTTCCTTACCTCTTCGTCTCTCACATTCTCACTCTCACCTGCTCTCATGTTGCCACGTCCCTTTGCACTCTCACATCAGTCGGTCTTCTCACTTCCCCGCGGTGACCTGTTCTTTGGTTTTTGTCTCCTGTTCTCTTTTGGGTTTTTTCAAACACGTTCAGGTTTGACACCACAATGGCTCCGCTGGTGTTCGCAGACCAGTACCTACAGCTGTCTGCTAAACTTCCATCCCATAACATTTATGGCTTGGGAGAGCATGTGCACAGACAGTATCGCCATGACACAAACTGGAAGACGTGGCCCATCTTCACTAGAGACGCCTTCCCTAATGGGGTGAGAAACACACACACACATGCACACACAGCTGGATAAGATTAAATGAATGAATCAGTTTTTAATGCCACTCATACTTGATGGTATGCACGGCTGAAGACACACTTGCACATGCAGATGTACGTAAACATATCACAAATCCAGTGTATCTGCATCTACAGAACCCCTATAATGTTTTTATGTTCTTGGTAAATGTTGTACCGGACAGACTGTGTGCTTAAAGGCTTACACTTGACAGGTCTACCTTGGATGTGCGTGTGTTGAAGTGCCGTGTTTATGTGTCGTGTTTACGTGTGCTCCCAACATGTGTATTCTCCTTCCCAAAGGGCTTATAATTGAATGCCTTGTAAGCTGATTAGGCAGTGAAGTCACCCCTTTAGCTTCAATAAGTCTCTCACGCCCCTCCTGCGCCTCACACCTCTTCTCTATATCCCCTCATCCCTCTGTCTTTCTGCCTTCCCTGCAGGGAACACATAACCTCTACGGACACTATCCCTTCTTCCTCTGTCTGGAAGACGAGAGTGGAAAGTCATTCGGGGTCTTTCTCATGAACAGCAATGCTATGGGTGAGGATAAACACACACACAAACACACATTCTGGGAGACAGAAACACATGAATACATCCATGTGCAAGCACAACAATACCGTCCCCAGAGATACCCAAACACACATTTTAAAAGGGCAGCAGTAGAGTGTCTAAAATGTGTATTAATAAATAAAAAAGAAGACAACCATGTAATAAACAGGCACCCAAAACATTATGAAAATCCATTTTCAAAGTGGTTCAAGGACACATGAGCCATCAGTTCTGCCTCGTCCTCCTAACACAAATGGATGTACTGTTGCTTCAATCAAAAAATTGTGCTGACAAATCAAAGAGAATATTGCATGGCTGTTTTATTCCATGAAGGCGATGACTGAAAGCAATGGGAATGCCCGCCGACATGTTTCTCTTGCTCATGTCTATAGTCTCCTGATATGAAAGATTTCTCTTGCCTTTCATGGATTGTCTCGACTCATACACGGATGATGTATGCTTGGTTAAGTGTGAACCAAAAGTCTGCAGAATTTAAAAAATATATCTCAAAATAGAGGTTCTGCTTGTTGTTTGAGAGGGCATTTTAGGGTTAGGATTTATTGTTGAGAAAGGTACCAGGATTAAGTTTGCAGCATTTCTGATTTTTCGGTTTTTTTCAGAGGTGACTTTGCAGCCTGCTCCCGCTGTGACCTACAGGACGATTGGAGGAGTCCTTGACTTCTACATTCTGTTCGGAGACACGCCAGAACAAGTGGTGCAGGAGTTCCTTGTGGTGAGGCGCACAGAATTACTTTTTTCTTATTTATTTATTTATTTTTTCAAAGGGTATATTCTAAGGTTGTCAAAAATATATATCATTCAATACTTTCTCAATACATAAAAAAAGTAATCTACAATCAGATTTTCAACCCAAGGCTGCACAGACTAAATCATGGGGAAGAAAAGCAACTGGTCCTCAATCTGTATAACCATGGTATTGAAATGGGCTATACAATACTAGTGAATGAACACTAATATCATGATATTTTTCTGCCATACTATCTCGATACACAATAAATATATCTCGATATTTTTAAATCTCCTCAAAAGCATTTTATTAATGCTAGGACTGGGAGACAAAACCAAATACCCTCTCTGATGCGACAAAGTTGTGGGGATGACTATATTCAAACTGGAAATAGCGGTCGAGGACTGTGCAACCGTGAACATCGCTGCATTGTACAAATACATGTGTTTTTTGCACTAAGCACCACTATGCTGTTGTCGGGTATAAGCCAGCAGTATGTTTATTAGGGGTGGGAATCTCTAGGCACCTTCAATTCGATTCAATTCCAATTCCGAGGGCAACGATTTCGATTATAAAACGATTCTCAATTCTAAAACAAGCCATAAGAAAATTTACACTAGATATTGAAAAACATTATTGTAATAAAGCTGGGAATACATATCCAGTGCATACAAACTGTATTACTTACTGTGGTTGAGATGACTACACTCCACAAGTCTCCTCCTCATCCACAAATCTCAACGGGACTCTCCTGTCCCTCGTCGACCTCCTCGACATTTCTCCTCCAGTATTTACAAAACTATAACTGACTATAACTATCTATGGACTATAAAAACACAAACACAAACTATTGCAAAAAAAGACGAACGGTGGCAAAACTACAAACTATGGTGAAAACATGACAAAAACACGGCATAAAAAAGCTCAAAAGCTCTCAAAAAACCACAGCTACTATTATTTACAACACTAAATATTATTTACAAAGAAAACACCACCAAAACACCGCTAAATCACTCAAACTTGTACTCTCCTCGTCAGCTGTCACTCTCCTCCTGCTGTGCTCACTTCCCTACCCTCCTCCACAGGTAATGACGTCACTACCGTAATGTACCAGTATATCACTGGAAAGCTCCGCTTCTCAGCTTTCAGAATCGGTTGGAATTATGTCAAAAGCGCGAATGGTCGAGGAGTTACGGTAATTTGAAAAATAAATATAAAAATAAAATTAAAATCGATTGAGTTTTCCACATCAATGCTTGCAAGACAGAATCTCGATGCATCTAAAAACTGATTTTTTCCCCCACCCCTAATGTTTATTGGGTTAATTTAGCAGTCTGTAATAATTTGGTACCGCGAATGATAACACAAATGCTGATGCTAGTTTGCTAACTAGCTAATTTGCGGTCGTCATTTCTGGTGAGTGCACAACAGCCGTGTTTGGTTTAAGACAACACTACCCTGTCGAAATTTGCGCACTACGCCAATGAGTATATACTGCACACAGTACATGACATAGAAGTATACTAACGGAAGTATGTGATTTGAGACAAGCCATATGCTATGCTATGCTATACTATGCCAATATTTTATCAAAGTTTAAAATTCTGTTATCGTGCCTACTGTATATAAGAATATACAGGCAATGTTTTCTGGGTTGGTCTGTTGAGCCAAAGCAGTTTGTGAGTTGCCTTGGCACAGAAACTGCATTAACAAAGCATCCAATATTGTTGTCTAGCTCACTGGCAGGCCTGTCATTCCTCCCTACTGGTCCCTGGGTTTCCAGCTTTCTCGGTGGGATTACGGCAGCCTGAGTGAGGTCAAGAAAACAGTGGAGAGGAACCGTGCCGTGGCCCTCCCATATGTAAGATCCTGTCTGCTTGCTTTTCTGGTATTTGTCTGTACAGTGCCCTAGGGTGTCTATATGTAGCATGTCTGACAATCTGTCAATCTGAAATTGCTTTTAATGCTTAAAGTGCCATCGCAGTGTGTGATTTTATGTTCATATTTTTGTGATAAAAATGTTAAATGACTGTTTTTACACATTAAAAAATATAAGTATCCATGATATATCATGGATTTCAGTGCATAAATCTCTTCACGTTCGGCACTTTCACAATTATTATCTCAGCTATGTGTTCAATTCTCAAGCATCTAAAGTCTTTATTCATACAGTGTTTATTATCACAATCTAAATGCACAATAAAATCATAACAGACTAGGTGTAAGGTGGGACTGTAAGTTCTCCGATCCATTCATTCCGCTCTGATGCCTCGACAAAGGAAAACAGGCAATCTGTTACTGAGAAACTATGTGACAAAACCCACCCATAGTACCAGAAGCACTGCAATTATTATCAATCAACAACAGACATTAAAATGTGTCACTGATTTTCTTTGCAAAGCAAGGAATGCAAATTGAGGACAAAACAGAAGCAGGTGTTTGAATCTGACCTTAGATGCCAAACGTTGAGGGGTCTTTTAAGGATGCATTTCAAAGACCAAATGTCTTAGTCATGTGACAATGCATAGTACATGCAGTGGGGGATTTCTTTGGCTGCTACCACAGCTGGAAATCGATACTTCACCTTGCGCACCCCTTGTTAAATTTGAACCACTCATGCACTACTGTGTGGTTCCAGAGGCAAGAGCCTTAACCACTACACTATCTGTGAAGACGTGATATGAAGGTTGAAGCAGGAGTTCGACAGACAGTCAGAGTGATAGGGATGGCCTTTAGCTTAGACGGGGTAATCCAGCTTTCTGTCAAATAATGGAGAGTCTGCTGGGCTCTATAGGTTCAATCCCGGGACAACTATTTTTCAAGCGTCACTGAATGTTAGCGCTGATCAAAGATCAATCGACCGAGTTCCTTTCATTATCTCATTCATCCTGATCTGAATGTTAAAACTACTCCAACACCTCTTCCCTTCTGAGACACTTGATAAATACCAGTTCTGGTTGACATTTTCTTGGGAATGAGCCTCACCGCTTATCTTTGTCTAGGCTTGCGAATAGTAACTGTAAGAAGTCCCTTCCAAACAGAGTAATGATGTTTGATGTCCTTTCCATTCCTTAATTACGAAGGTAAACTCCTGATCTGAATATTTATCCGTCCCCAATGAAACACTTCAACGGTATCACAACTCAGCAAAGACTGCACCAATCAAGAGCGCAGTTTGAACTTTGTAATATTTAAAGATCAAATGCAAACAAATTTCCGACCCATCTCAATATTTCTCTCTGATATTCTCCAGTCTCTCCTTCATATCCGAAGACATTAGGATGCAGCTGCTTCCTCTCCTGCCCTACTCAGGGACATATTTGATAACCATTAGATAGACCACAGAGGGCATTATCACATTCTCCCTAATATGTCTGGAGCTGATTACCATTAGAGGAAAGATCTGGCAGAGCCTTCCAAACCATCTGCTCTATCGATATGAAGTAGATTTTGGCAGACAACAGACAGACAGAGAGCAAGCATAAAGTCACACCCTGAGTAAAAAAAAGAATGTGCTAACATTCCCATTGTCCTCCCAAGGTTTAGCAGCACATTAGCCAAGTTGTTAGCACTCACGTCAGGTCTCCAAAATTCCAGCAAAGGCAGGTCAGACAAGCTAGCAGTTTTTCTTTTCTTGTCTTGCTTTTTTTCTCCTAGTGAGGCTCAGTGCAAATGCTTAATAGTGTGTTTATTAGCCATGCTGCAATGGGAATATAATGTGTTTGGAGAATGTGTTCAAGTCATATTGAAGATGCTGAATTTTGAGTGGATATGTTCGAGTTAAGCACAGAAGTGGAGGCATGAGTGGGTAACTTTAAAAGACATTAAGAGTCATTTTTAATTCCTTGCATTAATGTGAGATGCAAATATTATTTTAATACATGGAAGCCATGCCAGCATTTTAGCATTTCCAATTAGGCTTTGAATATCTAATGGCATCTAACCTGTTTGAAGTAAACTCTTCAAGGTATTCCTGTGACATGCAGAATTCCAAAGGGTTTTTTCAAAGCAAGGCTCGGACTTACTTTTTTGTAAATAATTTGATTTATTTCCTCTCTGATCTAAATATTAAGAGGATTTTTTATGTGCATGAGTTGCTCATAGTATTTTCTTCTTCCCTTGCAGGACATTCAGTACACTGACATCGACTACATGGAGGATAAGAAAGATTTCACTTATGACAAAGTCAAGTTCACCGAGCTGCCTCAGTTCGCTGACTACCTTCACGAGAAAGGACAGAGATACATCCTCATCCTGGTAAGAAGCAAGCAATTTTTGTGTTTGACATATTAACAGTCGATACAACCTTTAAACATCCCTGTGCAACCACAAAGCAACACTTTACTTTGCATTTCTGGGTCCTTTATTGTTTGGCAGTATTTTCAATCTTATATTTCTGACCAAATATTGGCTGCTATGTCAGGTTGATACACTCCAGCTGCAATGAAGCTTGATAGATATATATTTTTTCGAACAATAGGAGCTTGTTGTCATATAAAACAATGAAAGTTAAAAAACACTGCCAATTTATGTGTTATTGTTTCGGGCATAAAACTCAGAGAGGTGCCATTTAAACATGATGCAACGTTATGTTCTTTTGCTTTGGTCAGGTGCACAAACCATCCAGTGAAATACAGCACTTTCAAACATTTATTACGTTGGCAGCTTTTAGTTTCAGCAAATGCATCAGATGGCTGTTCTTCATTCCTAGCATTTGTGTTCTTTCATATTCTTATGACTGTATTCTTTTGTCCTGCAGGACCCTGCAATAGCTACCAGTAAGAGGGTAGGGAATGCTCCATATGAGTCCTACGACCGTGGAACTGCGAAGAACGCCTGGGTCACTGAATCAGATGGAAAAACTCCTCTGTTAGGAGAGGTGAGCTGCATCTGGGTGCGAGAGAGAACTGGAAACAATACACTTAGTAGCCCATTGATTAGATACTTATCTCCAGTCAGGCAAAGACTTCCCTCCTCCAGATGGTAATGCCACTTTAACACCATGCTTCCATCCCACGTATGTCCAGTGTCTGTACCTTGTGTAAATGGCTTGTCACAGTGATGTTCTGGTCACTGGGTCGTGAAGTCCTACATGGTAAAGCTTAATGTTGCGATGCACAAGTCAAATGTAGGGGTTAAGTGTAAGAGGGGTGCTGGTCATTATATATGGTCGTATATTCATACACTTAAAAAAAAAAGAAAAGAAAAAGCCACAAGGCAAAAGTAAGAGCACTTAGAGTAGGTGCACTTTCAGTTTCACTTAGTGATACAATTGGCATCAGGCATGAGTTACACAAGCTGAATGTGACATCATTGTTGCCATATGCACCAAGTCTGGCATGTCAGAAACTGACAAACTGATGAGATTTTTTTTTCACACAACAGCATATGGATTTTACTCAGAATAACATGGTTAAAAGGACATATTTAGTCAGCAGTAGTGTTAAAGCAGCTTGTGCCAAGACTTGCTCTGGAATACGCTTTAAAACCTCTTGTCAGATTGAACACTAATGTTGGATAAATTCTCCTGTTACATTCACTGACAGTTTAGGGGAAAATGGTCATTACTTTTGGGCTCATTTGTAAACCCTATAACCATGGTACACCATGGACACTCTAAGTACAGTGATGATTACTTCATGCTTCCACTCTAGGGCTGTAGTCAACCAAAGAAAATCTATGTCGACTGAAATTCTACCTACTCTTAACTGCATGTTATCTCTAAATGAATTGAATTAACCGCTGTGCACTGAGTGGACTCTATCTGATAGCACTGTGTTTCCACCAGACTGTTAGGTCTGCATATTTTTTTATATTCCTTAGAATAGGAATGTGGCATAGTTTCACTATGATACAAACGCCAGCAGCACAACAAGGCACTGTGCGTCTGGACCCTTGCCATTTTTTCCTAGTCACAGGGAGTTGAAAAATGTCCATTTAATCCAATCAATTCAATCATGATGGAGGGGTGGAAATATACCACAAAGAGCAACTATCACATCCTATATGTACAGGTGTTGAAAAACAATAGAAGAGAAATTAATATGGGTGTAGATCACAAGTTTCATCAGGATACAATATTATAGTGATTCTTTGGACAACTGCAGTCAGTCTGGATTCTGTGCCACCCCAAAACATTTCCAGTAACTGAAATCTAATCAGGGCCAATCAGGGATATGCACCATAGCTGACAATGAAAGCAGCCAATCAGGGATTATGTTCTAGCTGATGACATAAAATACAGGCCGCAGCTTGCGTTTTTACTGTTCTTCCGACTGGATTTGGCAAAAGCTTGATTTATCAACTGGCTCTGTTCGTTGATGAAGAAGATGTTCCCCAGTGCTTTGGTACACTGATTGGGGTGTCAAGAGGTGTACTCCTGCCCACTAAAATTGTTTGGGGCGGCACCGAGTCCGGCCTGATACAGACAGCAAAACAGAATGTTGAGCTCATGTCATCAGGATGGTCTTACCAGGCTATGCAATCGATACAAGACAATATCAGTAAATATCCTCATTGTCTTTTTCTTGGCAGCCTGCCATTGTCTGCCTGGCGCTTGGTCAATAGCACTGTTTGAATATTCAGAAAGGAGGTGTGCTTGCACGGAAATGGTGACACAGAGATATGGTAATTTCAAAATAAAGGCGTATCTTAAAGATGATGATATGCATCGATGTTTCACCTTGTGTTGATGTTGGATTGTTGATTATTGAATAGATATATGAATTCAGATGGATGTATGGTTACAACTCTAGAAGTAAATACTGCTGGTCACACAGATTGACAGGTCCATCGTCTTCCCTTGATCCTAAGCAAGGGCCTGAGCAAGTACTCTACCTTGTATGCTATGCCTCCACAGCGCATTCGTGCTCCTTGGTGGGCTTTTTCAGGGGAGCGTTTGGGGTTTTCGGCTCGAAAAAATCATTTTGGTGTAGACACAATCATCAATGATCAAGACAACACTTGTGATTGTCTGACCGACGAAGATGTGGTCTGACAAGAGCATATCAACCAACCAAATGACCAACCGACCATAATGTGCCTCATCTATTCTACTTTATATCAGTTGTAAAGGCCTTGCAAGTGTTTTTATGGTATGGGAATTGCTTTGAGCCCCATGTTTTGCCTTAAGCACCAACTGAGCCTTGTTTTGTACATCAATGTTGTGGCTATGGTACAAGGTCAATGTCTAGCTTTTGTGAAATTAGTACTAAAGACGATTCCAGGAGCATGGCATTAAGATCAATCCAAAAAAATCCATGCAATACAAGGCAATGAGCCTGAGGATAGCCATCAAAGAACCATCATACATTGAGAGACATGTTGGTGAGATTCCTCCTGAATGTATTCAGGACCTTGCTGAATCCCTGACTCATAGAAGTTAAACTGCGCTGAAGGTCTGTTTTACCAATGAGTATCTGAGCCTCTGGATTATACAATATATCGTGCAACATAAGCATAAATATATGCACTTGCTGTGTGTATGCAAGTGTGCTCCACAGTCTCCATCAAACTGTAATATTCCCTAATGGAAGTTCAAGCCTCTGCTATGTTATTTTTTGATCCTTCTCCCCACAGAGCACGTGTTTAAAAAGCTCTCCCCTGCAGAGAGGTGGAGGTGGGGGGTAAAAGTCTGTTGCTCCCATGCTTTTATAGTGTTGCTTTTGATTACGCACACGATTAGGCGCAGTCCCTCGGCTAATCGCTTTTTCATGCTGTTTATAACAGGTCAAACATATGCATTGATTCCGCATTAGTGTTTAATCTTAAAATGTTCTGCATCAACGCATCACAGATTAGGTGTGCGTGTGTGTGTGTGTGTGTGTGTGTGTGCGGGAGAGACAGAGAGGGAAGGGAAAAAGTCAGTCTGTGCGCCTGCATCTATGTTTACCCCTTTCTCCAAATGAGAAGCTATTCCTGGTTGTTTGCGCTTTATGTCAGTGCACGCATGTGTACTGTAGGATTATAATTGATTCCAGTTTATTTCCATATGAATATATGTGTCCTGATTATGGAAACAGTGGGGTCTTTGTGAAATGACCCTTTGTGGCGGCGGTGTCAGTGATAAAGGAGATACAGAGACAGGCTGGTAGTTATTCCGCTTTTAGGACGGCTAATTGCTCGCAAAGATGAGGATAAAAGCTTTTCCTGGTGGCCCATATGTTTCAGCGTGCTAGTGAAATCATAGCAGGACCTCAGTCGCACAGATGAACATTTCTGTTCGGAGCACAGAGGCAAAAAAATGGATGGGAGTAAACAAAGCGGCGGGGGGAGAGAGGAGTCTATGTGGCTTTAAAAGGTAGGAATGACAGACAGAAACATGGGCGGAGAAACAGGCAGGTGCAGGAAGACAGACAGTCACAAATAATAGATTAGAGAGCAATGTACAGGGAGACGGACTGGCTGTCTTTCGGAGTGGTGGAGTGACAGGGAGGTACACAGGAAGTCAGCCGCAGTGAGACGAGACAAAAAGACAGATTATCAGGCAAAAAAGGGACAGACGAGATGGAAGGTGGAAAGAGACTCTGGAGCGGAGGCAGGCAGAGGGACAGATAGAGACAAGCAGAGGAAAAGACAGACAGGTAATGGCGTAGATAGGCAGACTGACAGACAGAAGAGCATAAAAAAACAGACAAATAGACATAAAGATAGAGTGAGATATGCAGCTACAAATGCCAGCAGATTTGTTGAAAGCATTTCCCAGGGTGTCAGTATTAGTAAGCAGCTGGAGACGTCAAAAAGACAAAAATCTGGAGTTAAAAGACGGAAGAAATGACTGGGAAAAGGAGAGATGGCAACTGCGAGGGACTATCAATAAGCTCTGACCTTGGAGTTGTGACCACCTGCCAAAAACATCTGCCTGTAAATCTATGTGTGTGTGTGTGTGTGTGTGTGTGTGTGTGTGCGGGCACGTGAGCGTACATAAGCATGATTCATGTCTTTGCTACAAGTGTGTTGTAAAGTTATTGGCAGAGGAGGTAAAGGTAAAAGATAGCTAGCATGGAGCAACCTTGAGATTTAATATCTACTGTGCTCTACACAGGGTACACACACAGAAGCGCACACACACACACGCATACGCGCACACACGAAATCTCCGCCTTTCCCCGTGGATTAATCATTTTTCTCAATACATGTCATTAAGGACGACTTCTAACACACAGTCACGTCCAGAGATTTCTATTGCATTATCGATTTCACCTCTCCTCTGTTCTCTTCTTCAACTCCTCCGTCTCTCTATCCCCTTTCTCCTTCCTCCCTCCCTCATCAATCCCGCCCCCTACCCTGCTTCATCTCTCTTCTGTTCTCCTTTCTTTGTCACTTCCACATCTCTAAGCTGTGTCTCTGACATTTCCATGGGCCTAGTTTTTGCTTCAGTGGAGCTCTCTACGCCTACACCATCTTAGCCAATCATGCCCCATCATGTTGTTTACATGTACGCTACTGTGTAGGCTCGCTTCTCGTCTAATTAAAGACATGTTGAAGATGCTTTTCAAACTGAAATGAAAAAAGGGATTTAAAAAAAACGTCCTGTCAAAAGAGTACAACACTGTGCTTTGCCAAAACAATACCTGAAGTGAATACTGTCAGCGGGGAGGCTCACATAGTGATGCCAAACTAATGTTCTCAGAGTTTTACTCCAAAACTATTAAAAAGTGCTTGTAAAAGCGTAACTCACATTCTCCCTCCCCTCTCAGGTGTGGCCAGGAGAGACTGTGTTTCCAGACTACACCAGCCAAAACTGCATCGACTGGTGGGTTGATGAGTATGAGCGATTCTCCAGGGAGATCAAACACGATGCCCTCTGGATTGTAAGTCAATTTTAAATACACAAAATGAAGGTGTGGATTCGCTGATTAGCTGCTCGCCAACCGAAAATCCGGAAAGTGACATTATTCCGCAGCCAATTACGCTCACACCGGGGCAGTGAGCTTAAATTTTTATTTTTTTTTTTGTAATTTTCGGTAGCAATTACTTCGCTGCAGGCTGAACATTGGAGTCCAATAAATAGCACCAAACACAGGCAGACACAAAAAGCAGGCTGAAATTCATATTATGCTGTTAATGGTTCCTCAGCTGAAAATTTGGATTTGGCTCACTCATTACTCGAGGTGTTTGCAGCAACACACACACAATTTCACATCTTACTTCAAACACCTCAGCTCAACCCAGGTCACTTTGTGTTTACCAAGGGAAAAAAATAGTGGATGTAAATAAATCTTTTCAGCGTGAGATCACCTTAATAGAAGAACCCTGGATTCACAATAGTGTTATGGCATGCTGGAAATAATCATCATTATGAGTTGAAATAATTCATTTAAACTTGATTGTGTTTGATCAAACGATGTCCTCTGATGCACTTGCAGGATATGAATGAGGTGGCTAATTTCAAAAAAGGGTCGACTAAGGGCTGTGCTGACAACAACCTCAACTACCCTCCCTACACTCCAAGTAAGAATTTTTAATATGTTAAGCACCACAATTGTACCAGATATTTGCTGTTCTTGTACAGTTTCAATTACGGATTCACTGATATGATGTGTACTTTTATGTTTTGTTCCCATTGCTGCACAGCCAATTGCCCCATTGGGGACAGATAAAGGGACTGATTGATTGATTTATTGATTGATGAATTTTGTCAACCGACACTGATAATTACCTGCTTCTCATAGCCAATAACTGATACGATAACCGATAATTTCGCATTTTTGTATTTTAAAGAGAAGTGTATAACCTGTAGTTTATGTACAACTGAGGGTAAGAAAGACGAAGATGTAGTGAGAAAATATGGATGATCTAATATTCCATAGCCCTGACCTACTGTACCAATCAAGCTGACATGGTTAAAGGCGCTGTATGTAAGAATGTGGCCAAAACGGTTACTGCCGCGAGTCGTGTCTGCCCCCCCCTCCCCTACAGATTTGAGGTTGCTGGACAGCGGCACGCTGGAGACTGATTTATTTGCCCACGGGCGGCTGCCGTGGCAGGGCCGCGTCGCCGCGTCCTTGACCTTCGGTTTTCCAGTGGACCGTTCAAGCAAGTCCGGCTTCTCTGCTGCTAACGCTGCTGCCGGGATACAGCTGAGGAGAAGCCGACTGCTAATGCTATGTACCGGGACACTGCTAATGCTGCTTGCCATGCGGCTAACGTTTGTTTCTCAAAAAAACAGTTGGGTCAATGACCCATCTGCAAATGGGCTACAATGTATGATCGAAAATGAATAACAGTTCAAAGTATTCGAAATGTCCATCCCCGTCTAGCTATGATGCTAGTTAGCCAACTTTGGCTAAAGCTTACCTGTCGAGGAGAAGAATAGCCACTTCGACATCCGATTTCAAATTCTTCTCCGCTTTCAACCGTCTCCACCGTTCAAAAGCATCTCCTATAGACCCTCGCTTTGCCTCGAGTTTTGTCTTGGCGTTTTTGGGAATCATAACGAGGTCGTTTGGGTTTAGTCGCAGCGTCAGCCACTGTAGCTCAGTCGTAACTGTAACTGATGCTGAGACTCTACTGACTGCGTGACTGGTAGACGGCGGTGGGTGGCGCAACAGGCCAAAACAAAAATTCAAAACATAAACATGATTTGCGGACTGTAAATTTTTTTTTAAATGCGAATATTCTGGCTGTACTATTGTTGTCGGTGAGATCAGTATGTTATATGAACATTATTCCTTAGTCTCTGTGACATATTAGGATGATATTACAACTATTTGCTTTAGATTTCTTACATATAGCTCCTTTAACATAACAAAAACAAACAACAGTTCAAACTCTTCCATACCTGCCAACGTTAGGCTGTGAAAAAGAGGGAGATATTCTGGGATATCGTCAAAAGGACTACCCTCATATAACCCTACACTACAAATCAACATAACACATACAAGGATGTGAAAGTAGAATGACTTAATCAGTATTAAATGTATTAATGGTAAGAGAGAGGTAAATGATGAAGCCCAGATTAGAGGCTCTACTAACAGAGACAAACAGTGACAGCTTACTCATATGAACATCGGCAGCTCAGCGTTACATCTGCTGTATGAAATGTGTATATCATTATATTATATTAATTACATTTTTATAAACACATCCAGGCAAAGTCTCGCCGCCCCATGATAGACTAGCTAACAAGTACCAAGTAGAATAGCAATGAGCTATTGATTTACCTCACACATTAACACTCAATTCAGACAGACAAGCAGCCAAAGAGTTAATGGTACAAATAATCGCTAACTGTAGCATCACATGGCTAGTTTTTATTATTAAGTTAAACAACAGAGTCAAGCCATTGGATGCAAGCCGCTGCTGCTAATTAGCTCCTGCTAACACTCTGGAGATGATCCTTCAGCACTGTGTCTAACTCGCCTCGAGCGGTCGGAGACCCTCGGCACAATCCTGTTGTCTTTCTCTGGAACTGTGAAAGACGTCCACACTGCGAGCATGCTGCAGTTGTTGTTGTTCTTCTTCTATGTGTTTATTGGTGGCTTGCAAGCCAAGTTTAAAAAGGTACATGTGCCGCCACCCACTGTGTCAGGTGTGTAGATGCTGCCCTTGGTAAGTCAATGAAAGCAGTCTGGCCTCGTATTATCAGCGCTATTTATCGGCTATAATCTTAATTATTGGAATAATGCATAATTATAAAATGTCCTAATATTGGCCTGATATGTATCGTGCATCCCTAGTTTTAATATCCGCAATATCTGTGTTGCTTTAGAGACAAATGGTTGAGTTTCAGAACTTTCTCATGGCAGCATTCTTTGAAAGTTTGTCCTTGCTTAAAAACATTCATAAATCTACATCCCGTTTTACAAAGAAATAGAGGATGTGATGGGCTTGCAGCTTGTAGCCCGAATGCTGTGCACGAGTTGATAAATCCGCCACAATAGCTCATAAAGTAAGTTCAGGTCCAGAGGAAAATTCATCTAAAGTAGTGGGTCCCCGGTGAGGAATTCTGAAAATGACTCTTCTGCCATGTCTTTTATTCCGACTGTGTCCCAGACAGGATGATCATAACTGGAAAAGGCATGCTCCCCTGATGCCACCTTTTTATTGCACTCCTCCTTAGTCATCCTCTCCCTCCATTGCTCTTTCTGTCTCTCATTTCCTCATTGTTCCCACTTCCTATTGCAGTATACATCACTGTCTCTCCTTCCTTCTGTCCCCTTCTTCCTCTTTCCCTCACCGCATCCTATATTTTATATTCATTCCATACCTCCTCTAACCTTCGCCCCATCTCTTTACCTCCTTCATCTTTTCTCTCCCCCCAGAGATTCTGGATGAGGTGCTGTACAGTAAGACTCTGTGTATGGATGCCAAGCAGGCCTGGGGGGACCACTATGATGTCCACAGTCTGTATGGGTACTCTATGGTGCTGGCGACGGAAAAGTGAGTGCATTCACAATGATAGAAGAACTCTGGCCAGCTTGTACTACGGAGGCCAACTTGCTGTCACCTCTTCAGAGCAATGAGGCACTGGCACACTCAGAATTCACTGTGTAATGTCAAAACAGTGCGGCACACAAAATCTTTAAAGCGAGTGTAGTAGAATCAGAGGTTATTGAGAAATGGCAACGGAATTATGGAGTGGAAAAAAAAGTGCAACGGAGAAATCTGTCAGTTCGATGCAGTCCAGTGACTTATGTCCTCTGCTAAATCACAGCTTGTGACTCTTGCGGACCATTTGCAAGTTGGATCCCATGTGATAAGTGCAGAAATATGTTTTAATGAGCCCGGCTCCCAGGGTGAGTGAATGAAATTCTCATCTGGGTCTGGCGCTGAAACAGTTTAAGGGCCCATTACTTACACAAGCCTACAGAGAGGCATCAATGTGATTATAGGTTATAATCACTGAAATATGGAAATTGATGAAGCAGTAAGTAGGTTAAAGTTGATTTGTACTTTATTCATACGTATATAGGCAGGAAACTCATAAATTGGTATTGTTATAGTCGATTTAGAGAACTACACAGACATCTGCAAGTTGTGAGCACACGCGAGCTTGGGTGCAAACATTTGGCTCATTATACCAGTTCAGTATATGCATAATGCCTCTGTGCATGCAGGTGGCAAACCAGTTTTTGTATATCCTATAATCAAGTTATGCTAATGGATGTAAAGCCCATTAAGTTACATTAAGTATGCTACATAAAGTTTGCCTCGCCTCTGTAACTGTGCTCAGGTACCACACAAATGATGATGTTATTATGAGTGAGATGGGTCTGAAATGCAGCTAATCTCTGTTTTCATCGCAAAATCCCAAACAAGCACAGAGCAATTTGGAAAGAGAATAGCAGAAGAGGTTTAGAGGAGCACATTAGACTCATCCCTCAAAGATTATCAAAACAGTATAGTCAAGATAGGCAGCCTGGCACATGAGCAAGTGCTGCACAAAACACAAACCACTTAAATGTCACGGAGGTATAAACACTGCAGTCACATTTATCTTAGTACAGGAATTTCTATATTCTCTCAGCCCCCAGCTAGTCATTTCACACAAGGCTAAAGTTGGCATCAGTTGCCAGAATTTTAATATGCACTAATGGTGATGGTATGGGAAATTGCATCAATTAGAAAGCAGCACATACCTGCACTAATGGGTTTTTGGCTGATGGAAAATAACACCCCGTGAAACTAAACAAACGCAATCCAGAGCCCTTGATGCGGAAAAGGGTCATATGTTAAGGTTAAAAGTCAAAAAAATTATAACATTCAACCTTCTCGATAGGTTACAGTATATCTCACATCGTTATTGAAGAGACTCCAACACCTTTCCCTCCCAAGTGGGATATTCTGCAGCTATTTTCTGCTGATTCATCACTGCCACAAGCTTTCAGATGCATCTCAGATGCCAATAAAATAATCACTGCATTTGAATAAAATGCCACTGTAACCTTTCAGGTGTTACCGTTTTCTCGACTGTCGCCTCAGCACTGCTTAGTACAGTGTCTGCAGAGGCAGAAGAAGAGATTATCCCACAAAGATATTATTATGGCACTGTATTCTGTACACCATTTTTTATGTTCTTTGTGACATCTTAAAGGTTGCAATGACATTTGGCTGCAAGACTGCCCACTGATCATCTTTGATATATACAGGGAGGAAGGCTTCTCGCATTTCTGTGTGGCTGTAACGTATAGACATGCATGGCACATTGATATAAAGGGAAAAGTGCGCAGTTTAAATTGTCAGATCTTAAATTGTGGGGCCTCCTGTTGTTAATATTTTAGCAGTAAAATGACAGTTTAAAAGTTCCCCAGGTACAGTGTAGGTGTAGCAGTGTTCTCCACAGAATTAGAATCTATGTGTGGCGGCAGCTGCAAACTCAACCCAGCGCAATGAATGGTTAAGTTTCACTGTCACTGCACCTGGCATTACGCTTTGTGCTTCATGAGTGTGGTGAAATGAATAACCAAACAGCATATAGGCCTATTTTCCAACTGCGTTCCTAAAATAGAAAATCAATCCATGATGGGAGATGTTGTTATTGTGGCAGACTGCCACAAATAAATAAATGTGCAGGAAACCCTGGGCAATTAGTTGACTAATAGATTAAACGTTGCAACCCTTGCTAACTGGCATCAGCAATACTAGTCAGTTAAAGACAATATTAAAAATATTATTATCTTATGCCTCCCTGTTTACCCAATGAAAATTCCTGAAATATTTATTTTCCTAAATAATGTGCTTTTCAATACATTTTATTTGGTAACTTTGATTTAGTTAGTTGTCATATTTTGTTGAATAATGTGCAATGTTCAAAATACATGATGCAAAGTGCCACACCATTGACCTTTCAATAAGCCCCGCCCCTTTCTGATGTTCCAACAAGCTGTCGCAGTAAGCATGGAGCCCACACTGTAACTAACTGCACTCCCTGAAGAAGTATTATCATATTTTTGTAAAAATGAAAGAGTGACTCCAGAGAGAAGCAGACAGAGGGGTCTACAGTCTGTGTTTGAAGGATATATCCAGGATGTCAAACTGACTCAGCAGCAACAACAGGTTAAAAAGACAAAGATAGTTAGAAGCTAAAGCCGAACTATAGGCTACAGATCACAGTGTAAAAGTGAACCACCACATCACTGCTGATCGCCACACAAGACAATGAATATAAAGGGAAACTTTGCTGATGTTGAACCAGCTGTGTGGCATCGCAGTGTGTGCAGATGAACGGTGTTTGGCTTTGCCCCCGTGCCAACGCCAGCACCTGGACCTCTGTCGCTGGACAGGCAGGGATCTCTGGGGTAAGTCAAACAATGTTCATCTGCACACACTGCGATGACACACAGCTGGTTGAATATCAGCAAAGTTTCCCTGCTTCCCTTCACTGGTTCCTGTACAGCAGGGTCGGTCTTTGTTTCACTGTTATAATCATTAAAAAGCAAAAGCAGCATGTGTATACATTCAGTAGGCTATATCTTCAGTAGCTAGCTAGCTAACCCTACACTTTTCAGGGTTTGATTTTGGTTTTGGAACAGGGAAGAAACGTATGTCTTTTTCCAGCCTCTCCAGGTAACGAGTATCATTAATACACGACGTGCCCCAGGCACAACATTTAGCTCCAAATCCACAAAACCAGCCTGAAAATGAAGGAAATCTGAAATGACTGCATTAGAGTCAATGGAGCACAGCTGTATTGTCGGACTGTGGTCTGATCTGGCCCAATGCTACGTTACGATAGGCCAGTCTACGTCCAGGGGCTAAATTGAGCTCACTGTTTTCTGAATGTTCTTTAACTTTTCGACACGTTGACTAGTCTTAGTATAAACTTCCATTTAAACTTATGAGAAAAAAAGTCATTCAGAATATCCCTAGTATGGTGAATAGCCGTCACTGAAACCCAACTCTAGCTTGCTTTTACTAATGGCACTTCCTGCTATAGTATTACCCATCACAACATACACGGGTGACAAAGACATATGCACAAAAGGAAAGCATAATTCTTACATACACATGTTCACACACTAACACATACATGGGCACGTGCATAAGCACTGGGGACCATTAAAAACAAGCCCTCTGAAGTGGACTTGCTGAGTCACTCCTTTGGTAATGAAGCTAGCTCATCTTTCTTTTGTCTCCTCTTTCTCCTCCCTCCCTTTCCTCCCTCTGTCCACTAATTAAAATGTATTATTGGCAGGAGACACATTTCGTAAACATCATCAGGGTTTCATATTGTCATGGAAATCAATGCCTCTTCGATTTCCCTCATCAAACAAAATAATAATGTACAATGGGGAAGGAAAAGTACAACTAGCTCTGGCTTTGTCCCCATCCAATATCTATATCGGGCTCTGCCCTGTGACCGTGTATGTGTATATGTGCTTGATTTCTGTTTCTCCCTTGTGCTGTTTGAGTCACCCTTCCTCTCTGTCCCCGTGTCCTTTTTTATCTCAACGACCTCTTTCTTTCTCTCCTCCTCTCGCTCTGCTTCGCTCCTCACTGCCTCCTCTCCCTCCCACAGAGCTCTGCAGCGTGCGTTTGGAGGAAACCGTACCCTGATGTTGACCCGCTCCTCCTTCCCAGGTGTGGGAAAATATTCGGGTCACTGGCTGGGGGACAATGCTGCCAACTGGAACGACATAAAATGGGCCATCCCTGGCATGCTAGAGTTTGGGCTCTTTGGGGTTCCCTATGTGAGTAGCAAACCTTCACGGAAGGGCAAATACTGTTCATATTACACTTAAAGTAAGTGAGTTTGACAGGGAAAAAATGCCTCCACCTGGTTGCAATGACAGGGCTTAAAAGAACTGTAAGGAGTAATCTCTTCAGGTTTTCACTTGAACTACAGATTCAAACAGGGCGGCGCAAAATTCAGGTTTAACATTTTAATTTGGACCTCATTTCAAGCCTTTTTACTGAGATCGTCACAGCATGCGTGCAGAGGAAAAAGTCATGTTTTGTTTGATTTCAATTGCCCTCTTTAGCTCTTTAGCAAATATCCATTATCACAGGCACATTTCACTTGAGGCTCAGATCCCCCTCAGATACGTCTAATGAAAGAGACAGAAATGCTGTTAGGTATGTAGAACACTTACATTATACAAAAAGACCTTGTAACAAATCTTGGAAAGTTAGCCACAGCCAGTTGTAGCTCGTATTACGTGTTTCAGTTTAGTTAACACGTAGTTCTGGCATTAAGAAGATTTCCCCTTTTGCCTTTTTCCAGAGGATTCAGCTGCTAATTGAGATCTATGTTCAGGTGTAAGCATAAAGACAGAAGGGCAGGCAAGAAAAAAGTGTGCCTGGAACAAGATCCATTGAAACGTCTGGTAGAACACAGGTTCTCTTTGTGGGAACCACGTTCACACACACACACACACACACACACGCGCACACACACACACAAAAAAAAAAAAAAAAAAAAAAGCACACAGCTAGTCATACATGTGTGTATCTGTAGTGCAAACAGCAGTAAGAAAACAACAGGGAGTCAAGCGCACACAAACATACACACACCTCCAGCTGTGCACATCGGGTGGTCTTATAGATGCCAACTACATCCTGGTGGGACTGTGTCAAGCAGATTTTCGGAACCTCAGCACACACACGCGCACGCACACTCACACTCACACGCACAAACAAATAGAGGGAGACGGAAAGAGAGAGCAGGAGAAATGGAGTTTGGATCGATCCTCTCCCATTGAGTCTGTTGTAAAATGTGGCCAGTAGTAAACAATAGAAAGCAAGAAGTCTCTGCGGACTGGCCTTTGACTGAAGTCTCTTTCTTGTACTCCATTATGCAATTAATGTAAATAAAGATCACTGCCCACATCTACTGTCTGCCAGTAAATCTTGACTGAATTGAACAGACATCAAGGGAGCCATTTTAAAAGACAAATATGTGGCTGGCTGTCACGTCGCTGTTAGTTTTTTTACGACTGCAGGAGATTTGTCGATCTCAAATTCAGCATTTTCCTCCTGAAGGTGCCTGGATTGACACTTGTAATGTATGTAGGTCCACACAGACCTTTATTTTATTTCAGTTTCAACATACAATGTATAGCTGGAATCCACAGCATCAGTTTGTCAAATGGCATGCCAACTGTACAATCCCAATACAATGAATTCAACATTTCAGACATTAATAGAAATACACTGTAGGTTCTGGCTGAATGTCAAGCTGTCGTCCCCTCCTGTGTGTCAGATTGGAGCTGACATCTGTGGATTCTTTGACGACTCCAGTGAAGAGTTATGCCGTCGCTGGATGCAGGTGGGAGCTTTCTATCCCTTCAGCCGGAACCACAACGCTCAGGGCTACAAGGTACTGTAAAGGCGTTTTGTTCTCCAATTTCATATTAGACTGTCAGTTTTAGATTTATGTATCACACTGCTTTTGTTTGGTCTAAAGTGCTGCGGGGTATACCCTTCATTTCATAACATTGCATAGGTGCATTAAAACGCCAAGCGGTTAAAAATAGAAACTTCTTTCAGTATCCATGGAGATTGTCATCATACCAGCACTAGTACAACTGTGCTGTAAAATGGGAGCAGTGGGACCTCTGATTTTGGGTTTAACACTGGGAATGTTAGCTGTAGAAAATCCATTATAGCTGCAGTGGGTATTGGAACATCTGAGCCTGAAGTAAAACGAAGCTCACAAGCTCAGCGCCAGACTGATGCTCATCAAAGAGGTTGAGATTTTACACTTTAGTAAAAGGATAACGTTGATGCTAAATTATGTTAAATTACTGTAATATGATGTGCCATATGGCGGATACACGGCCAACATATTGTAAAATATCAATGCAATCTCAGCTTAGGTGGCCCCCATAGGCATCAGGGTAGCGTTATTTCTCTCCACTCATACACAGCACTACCTCCTACAACTCCAGCTGTGGCTCTGGTTGTGTGATGATGTGTTAACAGAAAAACAAAGAAAGAAAAGAATGGTAGTCCTGTAATTGATTATTCACCCCCCTTTAGGTAAAAGCAGCTTTTCATTTCAAGAGGACAACAAGGGTTGCAACAGTATAGGATTTTCATGGTACAATAACTGACGACAATGCAACTGTTTTACGGTATATGGTAATACACAATCATTATTATCAGTCACAATGACCCTTGGTTGAATAAAGGCAGGCAGGAGACGAGGACAGAAGATGCATGCCCAGGTGACATTCTCCATCTGTTTCAAGGTATGCCGCTGCAACCTAATAAGTACCGAGCTTGATGAATGAAGAGACAACAGTTATAAGACCATTTTATCAGCTGTAGCTAGCAAGATAATTAATCTAATGCTGGGGTAGGCAACTTCTGGCTCAGAAGCCAGAGGTGGCTCTTTGGCCCTTTATCCAGTGGCTCCCTGTGGCTTTGACCAAAACTTATATGGATCTGAATAACAGGGTTTTTTTTTTAATATTTAAGTTTACATCCATCATTGTTGTAGCCTTTAAGGGATTCTTACATTCCCCAACTGTATACACTGAATGAAAAATTAAAAATAAATGTTTTAACATCTCGTCAAATGTGCCTCATACATGGCCTCTATGGCCTGGCACCTTTTCCTAAAATCTGCCAAATCTCAATAGTGATGGTTAGCCTTGAGTCTCCTTAGTGAGGTTAACTACTGATTCCAATCCAAAAAGGAAAGAATTTCATAGTGAGTGGACAGATTCGTTTGCTTACACCACTAACGCTGCAAAGTTTAAGTACCAAATAATCATAAATAGCTACTTTGATGTAAAACTTATTAATGAATGCTCATTTAGAGCTTTTATGAATGTTTAAAGGCTAATTTAGATTAAAAAGGCTGCGTTGCCATCACTATAAAGCATAAATATGTATTGCAGATTTTTTGATAGTAAAGGTTGCTGACCCCTGATGCAACGTCAGCTCATGAGTGGGCTGAAACACTGCCTCTGGCTGACTTTGTTTGATGTAAATGTAAATGAGAGCCCTGTAAAATGGTCTTAAATATTCACTTGATGACACCATGGTAAAAGACTGAGGCTAAAGCAAACAGGTCCCATGAAAAAAATATCTTTAAAAAGTTGATGATCTTTGATGATGTGGAAATAAAGAAACAGCATTTTCATGTACTGCAGAGTAGAGCTATTTAGACCTGGTGTTATCAGTACAATAAGAAAAATGACTCTGTTAAGCTACTTAGCTTATGTACTTGGGTGATTAAGACAGATTTATACTTTACGATTTGTAATTTTGAAACAATATATTTCACTTAAAATTTTACAAGAAAAAGGAATTATAAGAACTAAGCAATTTCCTTAATGGAACCTAAGGGTGCTCTCACACCTGCCCTGTTTGGTTCAGTTATATCAAACTCAAGTTTGTTTGCCCCCTAAGTGCAGTTAATTTGGGCAGGTGTGAACACTGCAATCACATTCATATGTGCACCAGAACAACCAGACTGAGACCTTCTTGAAGAGGTGGTCTCAGTCCAGTTACAAACAAACATTTGTGGTGAGAACGTGTTCCGACCTGGATCCGAACCAACTGCAGTCACATGACACATTGTTTGGGTTAAACATGAGCATGTTACAGTCCTGGAGGATTATTAATGTGCACCTCCTCCTGTACTGCCTTAATATGCACATTCAGCACATCCAATGCATCAAAACATTGTTTTCTAGTTGGAGCCTCGCCTCGTTTTCAAACTGTATGGTTTGACTAAAATGAACAATGACAGCAATATAGTCCACGATGAGCAGCGCTAAAATCAACCTGCGTAGTTGTCCCTCCATTGTGACATTAGAAAGTGTCACATTTATCTTGCAAGTGTACTCTTCTTCAATGTTTTGTTTACTTCCTGGATTTTTCCCACATGGAAATTCTGACCAATCAAGAGCAGCTTTCTTGTGCAGACATTTTATCTGGTCTGCTTGTGAATGCTGCCGTGAGAACACGAACCAACTCTAGGCAATTATACAACTTTGTGACAATATTCGTCCCTGATTCAGACCAAAGCAAGACAACTCTAGGTCTGAAAGCATCCTAAGACTCCACAAAATAATGTTGTATGAAATTCATCTGTCCTTAGAAGTGATGCTGGGTTACTTCTGCAGGTAGTAAAGCTGACAGGCAGACATGTTCACATTTGTAGCTTATATTGGGACAGATCATTCCTTACAGTGTTGATCTTTTACTTTTAAATTTTGGAAAGGGCAAAACAAACTCTTTACAGTATTGCTATTAGTACAACCATGGGCCCTCTGCCTCATAACGCAGCAGCCTGCCTTGACTAGTTGAGGTTGCCAAGCAAAATCTGAATGCTTGCTGGCAGACCAGATTCACGACGACAAACACTCTAAACACGTATTATAATAATAACAAAAATGATGATCATGATGAAGATAGTGATATTTATGTTTATCTCCAACAAGCACACTATAAATTTAAATGTCAGATCAGATCAAATGTCACAGAGAGACACAGGGAAAGCGCCCACTGGGCCTACAACAGTGTTTATATTGATGCTACATACTGAGCTATTATTGCAGATGAACACAAATAACTCGGTGGAGAAAAGTCAGTCTGCAGCATTGAATAGCGTGAAAATTGATGCCCTCGCAACATTCTTCATGTGACATTTCCATGCTCATCACTGCTGCAAAAATAGCACAGCGTTGAGGTAATGCTGTCGGGTCAGGGTGGGGGTGAGTAAGACATGGTGTGTGTTGGAAGGAGGAAGGGGGATGCGGGTTGTATTTGCTGGAGGACAGGGACATGATGATGAATCTGAAGTACGATTTCCACTAAACGAGACAGCTAATGTGTGACCTTTGCTTTGCCCTAATCATGGCTCTCATCACACGGCCATGCAGGCCAGTCCAAACACACACGCACACGCACGCACACACACAGTCCTCATCACACTCTCAGAGGTGCTGAGGGCATAAATGATTAGCCAGATGAGAGGAGCACGGCCTGTTAGCAGCTAATCACCCTCTCACTCTCCACTATCATAGAAATTAAATCATACTGCTGTTTCTTTCTCACACACTTTCCCCCCTTTATTTCTTTCTCTCAAGTTCTCTCGTTCTCATTCTCTTTGCAAACACTGCTTTTAGATTAGTCTTATGTAAAGTTAATTTCCCATTTTAATCTTTATAAATAAGGTTAATGTCCACTTATTCATCATGAATAAATTGGTGGTGGAAAAAGAAAGTTTGTCTTCCTTCCAATCACACCTTTCTTTCCTCTCTCTTCAAGTCCGTCCCTCCAATTCAAGTTCTCCGTTTCATCTCTCCATCTCTTTCCTCACATGCAGACAAATCAGATTTTTTCTTCTCTCGTGTTCATCAGCCTCATCTTTCTGTCTCCAGCCCCAGGATCCAGCTGTGTACGGCCCTGACTCAACGCTGGTGAGGAGCTCTAAACATTACCTGAGGATAAGATACACACTTCTGCCTTACCTCTACACACTCTTCTACAAAGCCCACACCACAGGGGAGACCGTCGTACGTCCTGTCATGCATGAGTAAGTCATTCAAAATATTGTCAGTGTACTGTCCTCATAATATCAGTTCAGACAGGGACACCCGCATTAAGGAATTGACCATTTATAGCGAACGTTATTTTTGGTGGAAAGGGCTCTACTGATCAAGGGAGCTGTCACGGCATCGGAGCAGTGACAAGGAATCTTCTGAGGGAGCTAGTCCCAGAGGCGTAGATATACACAGTGCAGGCAGTGTGGTTGCATGAGGTGGGGGGACCGAGAGAGAGAGTGGGTCCTCCAACAATGTGTTGGGTTGAGAATGTGCCCTTATAAGTAGGTGCCACCTTGGAGATATTGTGTCATTTCCTATATATGCACTTGAAAAAGGCAAACCTGTCTCTGCCATGATTTTCTTTTTTGTAAAATAGTCAATAGCATCAATGAACAAAATGCTTATTCCAAATAAACTATAATAAACTCTTAAAATTGTTCAATTAAATCAATAATGTCTCATTTTCTTTGGTAGTTTTTGTGATATACAGATATAAAACTTGTAGAAAAGACTCCCGCACACGGTCTAACTTGCGAAAATGATGATTTTAATGCTGCTGCAATGTTTCGGTGACCAGGCAAACACACTGTTTCTACAAGTTTCATTCTTCTCGTCCCTCTCCTACACACCTGTTTGAAAACAGATGTGCAAAATATTCCTTCATTTTGATATACAGAGCAATGATGATTACTAGGTAGTATGTATGTTAATGTTATCCACTGTCAAGTCTCCGATCATGTGACGAGACGCAATAATAATAATAATAATAATAATAATGACCGGAGGACGCAGAGAACGGTCCATAGCATACCACATAAAAACAGACAAACGTCTATGTAAAAAGGTACAGTATAATAAATACAATATGTATATAAAAAAAGACAAGAAATGCCCAACACTACATTATGCAAGTTCATATAAAAAGACAAAATTCAATAAACTGCACCCACAAGCTGGAGAGCCAGAGGTCCCACAGTCTCGATGAAAACCTGACTAAGCTCAGCTCAAGGTTGGCTAAAGCCTGGATGATAACATTTTCTGAGACAGAGAGCCTGCACATATATCGATATAAGAGCAGGGTAGGCAGACATATCAACATTTACAAACACTTGGCTGGCACTACACCATCATGGAAGTACAAGAAGGAGTCTCATTCCATCATTATAGGCCACATTAAATCTGTTTTGTTGCTCCTCTTATGGGAGCACCATAAGTGGGCAGTATACAGCGGGGTACAAAATGCTCTAAAAAGAGCCATCTAGCGTGTGCATACAGCTTACAGCACTGTCTGTGGACATCTTTATTATCAGATAAATCGTTGGCTGAGATATTTAACTTCATAAAAACTTTAAGAGCAATTCCAGATAAGAAGAATTCAGGAAATGTTCTGTCTTCTTTACTTCTAACACCCATAATGTTAAACTTATTGGCATTATATCTGAGGTCAATATGTCCATGATAGCATCCCACCACAATCCATCATAACTACCTTACACCACTGGCTAGTCCCCAATAATAAACACATACATGGACATCAATCTTTGTTAAATCATCAATATACAATGTCACACAGGAGGATGCTGGGGTGGTGGGGCTGTAGCAGCAAACAGCAATGGCAAGCCAGGCCTCAAGGAGCATATGCCATGATGATATAAATGACCATTGTCAAGTCCCAAATGATCTTTGTGGCATACATGAGGTAAAAACACTTCAAAGCTCCAGGGGAAGACAAGTCCAAAACCAACTCAGGCCATACAGGAGCACCAGGAAGGCAGTCACAAGTCAACACCACAACACATTAACTTCATTTTTGATTAATAATAATAATAATAATAATAATGCAAATTAGTACACACTCATTGCAAATAAATACACAGAGATTTCAAATGCGCATATCCAGCAGCATAGCAGATTGCAAACAGCCAGCAGTACAATATCAAGTGCTCACATGCAGAGGCCATGGATGCCAATAATTCATGCACATCACAAATTGAATGTCCTGCAGCAACAACAGCAAAGCTGGACCCAGACACAGCCAACAACAGTCATAGCTAGCTTACTGGCATTACTAAGCAAACACAAGCTGAAGCGACCGCAAAGCAACAGACACTTACCTCCACCCCGGTATCGTGGTGATGAGCAGCCTGCTGACAGAGTCGTCGCGGTCCCACAGCAAACACAGAAACACTTCTGTTGTGGCACCTGAGGGAGACGCTGTTTGACAACCAGCTGAGCGCACGCGGGCAGCAGCGGCAGAAGACACACGCGGTGCGCGGCCAGTATTTACTCCGTTAAAAAGTCTCCGAGGTCAGCTGCGGCACCAAACGCGTTGACATGATCATAACGAGCAGTGACGTTCAAACAGGTTGTAATGTCCGCGCTGTGCACCTGCGTGAATATGATTGGACTTCACTCACAGGATGAGCCAATCATTGTAAAGCATACGTCAAACACCTGACGCCAATCACGCAATACGAGCGCGACTTGAGTGCTCAGCTTAGACGAACTAAATAATTAATAAATGACTAAATAACTAATAAATAAATAAATAAGATTTAGTAGGGGAGAGCGGGGTGCAATCCTTGTACATCCTTACAATTTTTGTTTTATTCTAAGAACATGCACATCTCTGCAACAAATGGACAGTTATTGTTTTTTTTTCCAGAACTGACCTTTCTTCTACAATTGCATTAAGAAGTGGTGGAAGTGAAATGTTACAACGTACCCTATGGGTGGGGTTAATTATAACAGGCAGAGCGTTAGCTGTAACACTTGCTGGAAAAGTCTGTTTAACACAATTAATTAATTCAATAGAAAATGTGCTATATGTGCTTTTTTTATCAACTCTAATTTGAAAAATCTTGGATCAGTAATGATTTATGAGGATGTAAACAGTGTTACATACTGACATGCATGCTGCAATAAACAGACAGGTATTTACTGAATGAGGATGTGGTGCTTTTACTCAGTGAATCTAGTCTAAACTTTGTTTTGTTAGCCCGAAGATCAGTAAAAAGATATCTACTGGATTACACTCTTTTCTCTGTCACTCCCAAGGTTCTTCTCTGACAGCGCCACCTGGACCGTGGACCGCCAGTTCCTGTGGGGAAAACACCTGCTCATCACACCTGTACTAGACCCGGTCAGACAACACTTACAAAAAAAAGAAAAAACATCCCAGATCTGTCTCTCACACACACTCACACACATGTATACATATATATATATATATATGGATGTGCTCCTTCAAGTATGCGCTCAACCAAAATGTACTTGCAGCTCCTGTATCATATCTAACACAGTAACTTCACTATACTACTGTATGCAGTGCATATAGACACGTGCGTGTAGTACACAAAGAAATGTGTCTTGCAGATGATGCAGATGAGATGATCAGTTACTCACGCACGCACTCAAGCAGTCATACACACGCACACCCTGACCTCCACTGGGAAAACATGACATGGGATTTTCTTTGTTGCCCTCCCCTCCTCTCATCCCTCTTTCTTCTCTCTTTCATATCCTCCCTCTTTTCTCTCAGCTCTAATGAGAGCACTGACCTCATTACTAGCAGATTAGAAGTGTAGATAGAAGTGTGTATGTGTGTTTGTGCATGTTTGTCTCAGTGTGTGTGCGTGTGTGTGTATCCGTGAGCCTGTGTGTACTTGTGAATGTGTACCTGTACGTGCAAGTGTATGCGTGCATACACAGCGATTGCGGTCATGTCAAAGTGGCCTGATTAATAAGCAATTTAGCATGGCCTCTTGTGAATTACAGAATAGTGGAAAGCGAATTGGATTCATAGTGGGGCCAGGGATAAAGTAACTTCAATCAGTGTGATTGTGGAAAAGTTTCTAATACGAGAAGTGGAGGGGTTTATGCTTTCAGTGCCTCAGGGTTCAAGCTGTCCTAAGGGTGGGGACAAGGAAGTGCCATGAGGTGACTATGAAGGTTGTTATTTTTGCTAATCAGAAATATAAACACGACAAACAAATAGCAGTCAAAAGTGCACCTACAGTGGGATCTTTCAAGGCCAGAGGCACTGCTAAGCTGCAGTGCAGCTGGAAACAGGAAAGGATGAAAAGAAATCCATCATTGGTGGGTGTGTTGGGGGCTGGCAACAATTATGACCAATTGCTCGTTTTCTTTCTCTTTAAAAACAATGTGCTCGGCATCATCAAAGTGGCCCCATAATTGAATTGCGAGAAATGTCTGCAAAAGAAATGCATCCCCAAGGAGACAAATTATGACCTTGCTTCTGATGGTGCAGAAATGTCATTAATGAATTCACAATGCATTAAGATAAACTTATTCAGAAATGTTGCTCACCATGTTGCTGTCATGTGGAAACTCTTTAAATGACACTGTAACCATGTGCAGAGACAGTTTGGTTGTATGGCTGCAGCTAATAGCCAGTCCCTGACGTGTACAGACGAAGCATTCAGCCTTACAATTCTCACTTAATGCACCATGGCCCATTCTGACAGCTATGTTAGAAACCAGTCAGTCATACTGCAGCCACATGTGCAGTATACAGTTGGAAAATACATGTTTTTTTATTCTCTCTGCTTGAGGGAGTTCAAATTTCAAATCACTTTGGCCAGCATATCATCCACAAACAAGAGTTTGTAAGCTGTAACAGTTGTTCGTCTGCCCAGAATTTAGGTTAAACCAAACCCCAGCAAAACACCAAAGATGCACCATGCTGCTTGATCAATACTAACAATCGATACATACAAGACCCCACATGAATCTCCCCTCCCACTTGTGTTTACAGAAGTTCATGGCTACCTGAAAAATACCAAAGAGGTCCAAGGAAGCAAACAAAAACAACTGAGTCTGACAGAAGTAGATAGATAGATAGATAGATAGATAGATAGATAGATAGATACCGAGCTGCTACTCTGTTTAATATGTCTGTTAATCAGTCTACAGTGCAACATCAGTCTATATGTTGCACGTGCTAAATCAGTCTGTGAGATTAATGAAATTACTAGGGCTGACCTTCGAATCCATTTATGGACATTCGAAGCTTCGGTCCAACACTACATCCACAACTCAGAGCATCAGAAGTGTCTCTGACACCAGACTCAGAGCAGACCAGTGGAACTGGAAAATGCATATTAGGCCTACTAGTTACTACTTACGTTTTTCAAGTGATTTCCCAAATATGTTGTTGAGTTGTGATATGCCAATTGCTTTTGGCAAATCTGGCACTCTGTTTTCTGGGGGTTGTCGGGCATATTTTAAAGTGCAACTACACATCTGATGACCTCTTGGACATGTCTGCCAGCTCTGAGTGCGCTCATTGTCAGTATTGGACTGGTGGGGGTTAGTGTTGCGTTTAAGGCCTCCCCCCAAAAAAACGGAAAAAAAAAAGTGCAGAAGCTTTGAATTTTTTTTTTTCCCACAATCGAATCTCGTGCCATCGAACGAAGCTTCAAATTTTTTGGATCAGCCCTAGAAATTACAGCAGCATGCGTACAATACTGTGGGCCTTTTCCATTGTCACTTTTGGCCATGCCAAGTCAAGCCATGCTGCACCAAAATGTGCTTCCATTATCAGTTAAGAAGTGCCGTGCAATGCCGAGCTGTGCCACAGATGGACCTTCTCTGGAGTAGGACCAAAACCCAGGCTGCCTGCCCTCAAGTGGGTAGCAGTGACGTCTCACTGACCGCAGCCAACCCCACTTCTCCCACTCCCAAACAAGCCGTGTGTGTTGCAAGACTCTACCCACCTCTGTCTGCAGGAGACCAGAGAGAACGGCGTTCTTAAAAGTCCCTGTGTGTTCAGCTCTCAGTACGTCTGTAGCTTCGAACTGAATCTCTGTGGTTTGGAGTTTAGTTTCTCTCCTGCGTCCTGTTTTTACTTTAGATATCTGCTTTATTTCACTGTTTCACGTTCGCTATCAGCCGTATTAGAAGTTGTGTGAAGTCACTGCTTGAAAACTCATTTCCTTATTTTGCTGCTTCACAATAAAAGCTTTTACATAACAAAATAATGGGGGAATTTTATTGTGAAGAATCTGTAGGAAATGAAATGTGCTCATCACCAAATAAGCGGAACTTTGTTAGCGGCTTTTCTCCAATTAAGACAAGTCTAATAATAGGGCAGGGAGGAAAGTGAAAGCAGAAACAGCCACAGTGAGATGCTGACGAAGAGCTGCAGACAACAGACTCTTCCTGCACCTCTGCAAACAGCTCACCTCCAGCAGGTAAACTTCTTTTACCTGCCCTGCTGTGGAAAAACACATGCAGCAAATTAACAGGGGACTTTAGTTATGGATCAGCTTGCAACTGAACTTGAAGCTCATTTCGTAGAAAATACCGATATATATATATATATCATGTATCGCAATTCAGCCAGATAAGATATGAATGTTTGTCCATATCGATTTGTCCAATAGATTGATTAATTGATCAATTTTAGGTTTATGAAAGCATATTTGTTGTAAAGTATGACTTTTCTTCTTCATGTTTAATGTTTCTTTTAAATTACAAAACCTGGCCTGTGTTTTGACATGGCAGCCCTAATCTGTAAAAAGTACCATAGCAGCACAGTGACGCACACTGACACGAGCTTTAGAAGTATTTCGGACCACCGCTACGTCACATGAAAAGGATTTTTTTTCCAAATGACAGATCTGATGCAGCTGAATATTCATCTTTTGTGGTGAAAGGGTGCTGCTGAGCGGCGGCGATGTGGTTTAAGCCAGGGTAAGGGCAGGCATTAAGAACAGAGAGCACCCACGATCTGTTACAGATGCATCAGGCTGTGAAGGGCCCCATGAAGAGATAGTGTCAGCTTCTTGAGTGAGGTCACAGGCTGATCTTTAACAACCCTTCACATCCTACACTCACTTTTCTTTTCTTTTCTTTTTTTCATTATTCTCATATCTCTCTGTCTCTTTCTATTTATCGCTGTGTCCGCCCGCCTCTCACTTTTCTCTAATGATGCTCTCGCTCTATCATTCAGATCAGTCGATGCTTTAACCTTGATCTCTGTGATAAACTGGGGAGATCTCCTGCACTCTCCCTCTCTATCATCCCCTCTGGTCTTCATCCATGCTTCCACTCTCCCCGCCCTCCCCTCTTGCCCATTACTCCCTTTACTTTTTAGCTCATCCTTTCATCAAACGTTGGCTCCCTTATCTCATCTGCATTCTCTTAATCAGCTGCTGTCAACTCACCCTTGTGATCCCATTTCATTTCATCCCATCTCTCTCCCCCCTCCCTCACTCTCTCTCTCTCTCTCTCTCTCTCTCTCTCTCTCTCTCTCTCTCTCTCTCTCTCATCTACCTCAGCTACCATCTGATCATTCTGCCAGTATGAATCTTTAGCCCACCTGATCAAATCTTACCTTATGGCTAACTGAGCTTCAGTAGTCTAAATGAGGATACAGGCCTCATGGCTTGTCCCTCTCAATCACAGTTAGCAGCCATGCTAAGTCCTGCAGTCCCTTCCCATTAGTCAGTGGGGTGAGTGATAGGCGCCGCGAGCAAATCAGACACCAGAAAACGAGGTGTAGGGGGGAGCATCCATTTCCCCAGGCTGTCATCCCACAGGCTGTGCAGCGGTTGTGACAGGTGATATGCCTCAAACTGTGAATGTGGCCCCCAAAGAGGACACTCATTTGATTAGCAGGCCATTATAGCAATATGTCTCCATCGTATTGTGCTCTTTGCAGAGTTTCACATGTACTTTTCGGGTGTTTAGCATTTCAAATTTGCTCTCATTTGCCTCTGTTTATTTATCCTTTGTTCCGTATTCTCTTACCTGTTTGTTCTTTCTTGGCTTCCTGTCAACCCTCTTTCTTGTTCCTAATAACAGGACTCAGAGGGCCACGAAATAGGACATGGTGCTGAAAAGAGAGAGAGAGAGAGAGAGAGAGAGAAAGGGGAGAGATGTTGGTGCCATCGTTGCCTTTGACAGACGGCCTTGGCCTACACGGCTGACATAGTGTATTTCACAATTTGGCCTGTTTTGAGAAGGACCTCTAGTTCTCTCTTTCTCTTGCTGTGCTCTCTCTGTGTTTATCTCTCTCTCCCCCTCTGTTCTGCCCTGTCAGAAAGAGCAGGGAAGTGACAACGCTATCAAAGGCTTGGCGCTCTTCTATTGATTGCTCCTGTCTGTCCACCACCTTAAGCTATCAAAGGCTGTCACCTATCAGTCGTCGCTTGATGCTGTCTTTTCCATCATCTGTTGCCTCATAGCACTGTAGACTGAAATGTCACAAGGGCTTTGTGGAAACTTTATATCAGATGGTAGGCAGTTTTGAAATAACTCTCCTTGATGGAAACATTTTATCTTCTTCTTATTTATGATTAAGTTGCAGTGATTTATAGCGACAAGAAATATCCACGTTTTCCTTTGTGGTGTATTGTCGCTTTTCTCCTCATGTTTAGCCTTGTGAGATTAAAGTGTCAGGAGTGGTGCTGTGAGGTAAAGCTGGTGTTACTGGCTGCGAACACAAATCAAACACAGGCGTGCTTTCACACGAAACACAAAGCTGACACCTTTTGATGTCTACTCCACAAATCAGAGGTATATAGTGTTGTATTTAAGGGCAACAACAAACGTTTAGATTCGTTCAGGTATGCAGACATCTAAAGACATATGTTGTTTTTGTTCTCTGCAGGGTATGGACAGGGTGCGGGCATATGTCCCAGATGCTGTGTGGTATGACTATGATACGGTAAGATTATATACTGCTTACTTTAAGAAAACACTGAACAAAAATTTGAACGCAGCACTTTTGTTTTTGCTGCCGTTTGCTCCAGTGAAAGATCTAAGACTTCTTTTATGTGCTTCTTTTCTTTTATATTTCTCTCAAATTTTCGTCACAAATGTGAGTAAATGTGCACTTCTCCTTTTTCAAGATAATCCATCCACCTGACAGGTATGGCAAATCAAGATGCTGATTAAACAGGGGTCCATGTCATTGGTCCGACAGCCCATTGGTCCGATATCCCATTAGTCTGACGGTCCACGGTGCTGAACGGCTCCCTGCGGGCGTATTTCTACCTTGATGGTGCGCCGTGACCGGCTCTGGGTCAGCTGGGAAAGGCTTGAGGCGAAGCAGGCTCACGGCTTATGTGTTTGTCACTTTCTTTTTCATTTTAACCCACACCATGATCTTTTCCTAACCCTAACCAAGTGGTTTTTGTGCCTAAACCTAACCAGACCTTAACCACAGGGCATCATGATGATTTCGAAACGGACTTCGGAACAATGGGTTTAATATGGTCGGAACAATGGGATGTTGGACCAATGGGCTGTCGGACCAATGGGCAGTTTCCATTAAACAGTATCATCACTACATAAGGTGTGTCTTGGGATAATCACAGTTAAGGGCCACTCTAAACCACAATGCCACAGATGTCACATGTTTTGAGGGAGCATGCCATTGGCAAGCTGACTGCAGGAATGCCCACCAGTGCTGTTGTCCATGAAGTGAATGTTGATTTCACTACCATAAGCCATAATTTGGTAGTACATTCAACTGACTTCATGACAGCAGACCACATGTAACGACACCAGCTCAGGGCCTCCACATCCAGCGTCTTGAGCTCGGTCTCACCAACGAAAACCAACGAAAAAAGCTGTCCTTCAGCGTCGGCATGATATGCGGACAGTTGTCGTTATAGTTTATCGCGCCGCCCGGCTTCAAGGGGAAACACAGCAGGACAAGGACGAAAGTAGTGAAAGTCCAAATAGGGTGGGTGGGATGGGTGGTGGATGGGTTCAACAAACACCGACTTTCACCAGAAAAGAGCAGTGTTGGCGTCCCATAAGATTCTAAAGCCAAACCCTGTATTTTTTTTCCTAAACCTAACCACTACCTTTTGTTTGTTCCTTTTGTTGCTGAACCTAACTACATGTATTTGTTACTCAACCATGTGTGTTTGTTGTTGAAGGAAAACAAATGTTAATTCTGGGTGTTGTACTGACGCAGTGAGACTGTATGTCAATGGTAAATTTCCTGTGAAAATGAAAGTGTATCTTGAAAGAAGAGAACTTGACATGGTGTCCCAGAAAGTCAACAACCAATGCATCCAAGATACCTTGCATGTTGTATGTGGAGGTCGGAGTGAGAATGTTTTGGCGTCTTCACCTGCAAGATTATCTGAGACCACCCACCTGACCAGCTAATGCAACTATTGGTTTGCACAACTTAAGAAACCATCTCAGGGGAGCTCATCTGCATGCTCGTTGTCCTCACCAGGATCTTGACCTGACCACAGTTCATCATCGTAAACAACCTGTGCAGCTGTGAGGCCGGTTGGATGTACTACCAAAATCATGGAAACATTATTGGAGAAAACATATGGCAGTGAAAAGAACATTCAGTTCCCAGGCAGCAGCTCTGGTGGACATTCCTGCAGTCAGTATGCCAATGGTACACTCCCTCAAAACTTATGATATTTGTGGCATTGTGTTGTGTGATCAAACTGCATGTTTTAGAGTGGCCCTTTATTGTGATCATCCTAAGGCACACCTGTGTAGTAATAATACTGTCTTGATCTCGATATGCGACACCTGTCAGGTGGATTATCTTGAAAAAAAAAGATGCAATCACTAACAGATTTTAAAACATTTTGACCAAACTTCAAGAGAAATATAGATCTACCTACCTTGACTGAATCATCTCTTGCTAACACAGACACATATAACTCGACCTGTACACATGTTCAGATGCATGAACACTTAATTAACTGACACTCTGGCTGCAGATAGAGTGTCTTTCCTGGCTTACTTGTCAGTAGACTTCATTTGATAGATGGAACCTAAACCAAGGTGTTGCTTTTAAATTTTTGTTCAGTACTTTCCTCTAAAGCACATCCTTTTCCTCTTCAGGTGAAAAATTATCAGCAGTTGCTTTACATGTAGATTAATTCATATCCTTACCGCAGACATTGCAAACACTTTAGCTCTTCAGGTTCCAATTGTTGCTGAAATATTTCATTTAATTGAAAAGGACCTTAATGTACAATGCAATGAATGTTCTCCAAGTAAAGTGCACCTAATATGAATACCATTTTTCTTTCCTTTGATGGCCATAGAGAGAAAATTTGTGATTGTGAGTTTGTGTTTTTTCTCTACCCATTTTACATGCATGAAGAAGACAGGATATTAAAAACACATTTCAATAAAGTAAATTCCGATTCAAAACCACAAGGTGCAAAAAAATACCAGAGTTGAAACATCATCTCTCTGATACAGCCTTAAGAAATTGAACATCATAAGCCTTATAAATATGATAAACAGGAAATGGCATGACAAATAGGCTGAACAGGATTAATTGCAGGCTTGCTGTGTGAGAATGCATTATTTTATAAAGGAGCACCTGATAAATTGGTAACACAAATGTGTAGCGCTCAACAAAAAACACTGCAAGAAGGCCTTATAATTGTTAAGTTACATTAGCGGAATTAACACACACACAAAGAGCATGTATCACATGAAAGTCTTTGCCTCGAGTTCTTTGTTTGAGACTGAGAGACGAAAGCGATAAGACAGAGCGAGCGTGAGGACAAAGATGGAGTGAAAGAGGGGACAGCCAAGAGAGGAGAGAGACTATCTCCCTGACAGAGAGATAAAAGAGGTGTTGAGCTCCTTTGGGACCTTATTTGGGCGTCACAGTGGCGATGTAAAGCGCCCACTGATCAGATGAACGATTAGATTGGCTGTCTTGCCGCCGGCCCCTTGTCCTGGTTGGTCCCCTGTGATTATCTGGGTAGGAGGATGGAAGGGTTGGGGAGGCGGGGGTCACGGAGAGAGGAGAGCAGGGACAAGAGAGAAGATAAGAAGAAGAAAAAGGGGGATGGCAATAACAGTATGTAAAGGAATGGCAAGATGGGAGGATTAGCCAGGAGGAATAGGGAGAAGAAGAGAAGACAAGGCTAGAGAAGACCTCCTTAAGGCAGACAATGAGGGGGTGATACAATCTGAAATTGCTTGTAGACGCTCCACTAACTCCAGCCCACACACTCGCCCATACTCTACTGTACTGCATAAAGTGGTACACGCACACACATTCTCACATGCGCACACACACCTCCATGGGAATGGAGGAAAATGGGATACAAAAAAAAAAAAAAAAAGAATTAGAGCACCACAAGAGAGAATAACATGACGGGGAGAGGGAAGGAGGTAGAAGGAGAATGAGAGGAGATGGAGAGAAGAGAGTTTTAAATTATTTTAGGCTGGTCTGAGGATTCAGTCCTCAGGGGATCAGAAATTAACTGCGCTCTATCGGGGCCCTCCGAGAAACGAGCAGAGAGTGAGAGACACACAAGAAGGGAGACAGAAATGTGTCTCCTCATCTCAAATAAGCGCATCTCATTAGAACAGAAAATTATGATTATTATATGGTTATGATGCAAAAAAATAACATATGAAATCACCCTCAACTGTATTAGTCACAGCATTCTCCAAACTATTTGTAAACATTTCAGAAATCCAACTGTGATTAAACCCATTGTTCTAAATGAGGCTTTCGGCCCTGATCACAGAAAGCGTTTTGCAGGCTGCAAAATGCGAAGCGCGCCATACTGCCTTCTTTTTAATTGAATGCCACCAGTAAAAAAAAAAAAAAACGCCTTGCTGTGCCTTTTTATTGTTGCCAGGCAACCATGCAATCACCTCCTTACTCTAACCTTCCCGTGTTATCAGTTTACTGTTTATTTATTTTAGTTATTTGACAGTAATCTGTGGCTAGTTACTTAAACAGACAGGCAGAGGGTACTTCCTGTAGCTCTGGTTGAGGGTAAGAGGCTGTCAGCAAAATTTTGGGCACAGGGAAACAGAGTTCTGTGTGGGTACATGAAACCCATAAAAAAAGAGGGTGGATCACAGGGAGTACCACCAGTTGGTCCAGGAGCTTCTCCTCCATGATGACTGTCTCCAGGCATATTTTAGGGTGACTCAGGGGCCACTATTGTCTATCGTCCGGCCGTATAGCTCTGGGTATCCAAGAAGTGCTACCACCAGTTTCTCCTCCATTGTTTCTCAACTGAAAACTAGCTGTCTTGACATCTACAGAAGGCCCGCCTCTCAGATCTTCTGATTGGACAATGGGACAAACCCCTCAAGCCGAGGAGTTCAGAGCGCTCCAGCAAAAAATGCCAGGTGCCTAGAGCGCAGAAACATGAGATGAGTTTGAGATGAAATCTTTAACATGGCAGATTTGTGCAGGATGAAGATCACAGACGACCTCTGCCATTATTTCAAACTACCAGAGGTCTCCAGGTGACACTAGTCCTGTGTGAATAGAGCTCTAGGTTTTCAGATAGCCTTCTCTGACATTTCTGCCACAACCTCAACACAATGAAGACAAATAGAATTTTATTTGTGGAGCTCACAGGTTTTAAGATTATGATGCGATGTGCATAATCCACAAACTTCACAGTGAACAGAAATCATACTGTAGGCACTATGTTTCAGTAGAAAGTTGCTCCAATGAAAAGCTTGCACAGTGAAGTCTGCAAAGAGTCCAGATTAAAGAAAACCACTGCTGTCCACATAGCTAGATACCACTGGGGGTAAATGAGAAAAAATGTAGTGAATGTTTTATGCAAGCCGGTTCTTTGAGACATTTTTTTTTTTTTAATAACTTTTTGAATTATTCTGCTTATGCAATTAAACATCATGCAACAACTCATGCAATCAAGATCAAGTAGCTCAAGTAGCTGTAAGAGTGGAGTGTGTAGCTGAGACGGCCAAAGATCAACATCAGTGTATAGGTTTACTATGCTTTTGTAACGCAAGATTAAGTGTAGTATCCTGTGTTCACTGTGGCTGATTGCAAAGCAGCGTTGGAGCCATTAAATGTCCTAGCAGGGTTGCAGACCCAGACTAATAGCTGATCCAATTGCACCAATGGCAAACACAAGTTTCCCCGTTGCTTCTGCCTCAGAAAAAGTCCATCGTAGAGACAGCAATTTCACGCAAGCCCAAAGCTGGTATCTTCCAGCCCAGGCTTGTGCTCAATTATGATCACTGTCCTAACCTTGAAATGGGCGGCATGGAGATTGTCTTGCCCACTGAGCATCACATGAGGTAATTTAATAGATTCTGTTCTCTTACCAATCAGATGGAACGACTGCCGCACCGCAGAAATCATGTTGATATGCATCTGCCGGCTGACAAGCTTGGTTTGCACATCAGAGGTGGTGCGATCCTCCCCACGCAGAGACCGAATGTCACCACCACATACAGGTACACACACACACACACACACACACACAAATACACACACAGTTAACACCTCATTGTTTTGATTTCAACAAGAGAAGCTAAGGTGATGTACATATACAGATCAATCAACACTTTTTCCACACAAGTGCACATGATCATAAATGCATCAGATTTTACCTCCTGTTATATTTGATTAATGTGCAGAGATATTGTAGTCGTTTGATTCACTAAATTGTAATTACAGGAGCGTATGGTGTTTGTACTTTAGCCTGTGTTTATGTGTATACCTCTAGTCGACGTAACCCCATGGGTTTGATCGTCGCTCTTGACGACAACAACAAGGCAGCCGGGGAGCTATTCTGGGATGATGGAGATTCCAGAGGTATTGTGTGCTAAATGTGTGTGTGTGTGTGTGTGTGTGTGTGTGTGTGTGTGAGAGACAGGATCATCCGTATCTTGTTATTACCACTCATTACAGGCTTCTTTTTTTATGAGCATCAAATCGAAGCTCTTATCTTGTTTAAGCACAAAGCATCACACGAGTCAATGTGACTGTTCAAACACTGTCAGTCAGCTCACACACATTAACAAGTGAAGGTCAGTTACTCTGCTGTGTAACACTACATCAGATGCCAAACCGCAGTCGCAAACATTAACATCTGCTCTTTTTTTTAATTTCCTTTCACAGAAACTGTTGAAACAGGCAATCACATCCACTACCACTTCAACGTTGACTATGTAAGTTTCCTTCACATGTATCCACACCATCCTTAAAATCCGGCCCGCGTATTCCTTCTGATCTGAACTCAAGTTCAAAGTTCAAAACCACCGGAGACTTCAGACTTTTCCTGTCCATAACACCAAGTGGAATTGATCCATGTTTTGCTGCTGGAGCTTTGTTGGATCAAGTACTCCGTGTTCCTGCTTGACACAGAGCTGAGAATTGCCTTGCATGTTTAATGTATGATGGCGATGTTCTTCCTGTATGTAAACATTACACTGGGGTGTGGGGGGTTTACAGACAGGAAATCTATCGGAGCAGCTGTTTGACTGATGGACAACAGTTGTGGGAGTTTATAAGCTGGTTGCTTAACTAGGAATGCGTGATACCAGCAAGTGATGCTAATTGGAATAGACTCCATCAATCTATCCTCCTCTCTATTCAAAACAGCCACAGAGAAAAGAAATGTTGAACTGCCTTGTTGAAGAGTTTAAATTCAGCAGTTTTACTCAGCATTTTAGTTAGCACAAAGTTCAAAGTCATTTATTTTTGAATGTGCAACTGCAAGAGCAGTCATTGCTGTTGGAAAAACTTGGGTGAAAGACTCCCTCAAAAAATAAAATTAAAAAATAAAATAAAAATAAAATAGAACAAAATAAAAAAAGACAAAAAAAAATGTAATTATATATAAATGTATAACAAAAAAATTATAATATTAGAAATCACCAAAGTATAACCAAAAAAATCTAAGTATAAGGATAAAAAGTAGTGCAACTTAAATTAAATATAAATAAATTACTAAGTAAGTGTTATAAATCAGTAGTTGCATGTCCTCTGCTTTATAGGGAGTGCTGAAGATGCAGGTGACCCATGCCGGCTACAAGGACCCAAACAACCTCAAGTTTGAGGACATTACTATCCTTGGTGTGCCTCATCCTCCAGTCTTCGTCTCTGTGACTCACGTTAGCACTGGAACATCTGGAAACTCGACCACCCCTGTGCCGAACACCGGCATACAGTATGATGATGCCAAAAAGGTAAGCACACCACAGCAAAGCACGTATAGACAGGGCAGATTATCGGTGTACAATACAGGTCAACACTCCAGCAAAGCCTCTCCACCAAGTCCTTAGAAGCCTGGTTGGTTTGGTAGGCCAAGTGAGTGATGACATTTGCCCAAATAAACACACAGTTCAGTTCAGTCATTGTTGGATGGGAACACCAAGCAGGCATAGGTAAACAGAAACCAAGGGCGCAGAAACAGGTTTGGTGGTCAGGGACAGAAGGCTGAAGTGTTTACCAGGAATCAGATGAAGCAGTCAGGTCAGAAGCAGGCCAGGTCTGCAACGGCAAATATATACCGACTGTAAGTAAGGAGGAACAGGTGGACTGAGTTGCCTTGATGAGGTGGCATGACTGAAGCCAAGGCGTGGGAAAACCAGAGTGAATGGTAAATTACAGACTGAGAGTTGGGTGACTGGACATGCAGAACTGTGACAACAGAGCTAAACAGAGTGTGAATTTTGGTCTTGCGGTGTTTAGGTGACTTGAAACAAGACCTGAAAGCAATGCTGATGTTGCTCCATGTCTGCAAAACATGTAAATAGGCAACTATTTGCCAACAAGTTTGCCAGATCAGCTTTATACTGTAATAATATGTCAGTGATATGTTTATATTCTGTTCTGCCACTTCCAAGTGGCCTAACAATAATGTATTACTGCTTAAAAAATATATATATTTTTGTTGTTTTCATGCATTCCTAGTATTTGGGTAACCACATTTGGGAATGCCGAATTGCATGATTGACATTGGCATGTTGTATTAGTAGTTTAAAGCTGAATAAATAATTGAATAATAAGCCCTATATGGTCACAACATATGACAAACTTCAATACATATTTTTAAGTATTTCCACTGCTGGAAAACCTTGCTGTACTGATGGAGGACAGATGCAGTGTGGATGAGTACTACAGTGGCTACTCGTGCAGGTGCCCACCATTTGTTTCAATAAACCAGGAATGAAACCATTACTGTACATTTCAAGGTTAGCCTCTAAGTGTAAGAAATGATAACAATTTATATTAGGAGGATCGTAAAAGTGTGTGTGTGTGTGTGTGTGTGTAAGATAGCAAAGGAAAGAGTAGGAAAGAATGACTGAGCAATTGTCCTACACTAAGTGCCTGAGGTTATGAGCAAACGGCAAGAGTCTATAAAGTATCAAGGGGTCCAGTTAAGTATTACTATAGAGACTTCCTTTGCACTCTTGTGTATATTTGCGTGCACGCGTGTGTTCATGTGTGCGTGGCCAGGGGCTATGCTTGTGTAAATCCTCAAGGTCTCCCTGGTCACACACATAAGCGTGCATTTATCAAATGACTCTCAGCGGTAATCATTTCCTGGGGGTGAAGGGTAAATGTGCTGTTAAACCTAAACTCTGGCTTGTCATGTCCATCAGTCTTTGTATGCCTAGTTGGAGTGGGCCTTGAACATAGCTCACAGCCGCCAAACATCATTAGTTCCATACGCACTTAAACAGAACAGTACTTTACGACACATGAGGCACGTTGACTCTGTGTATTTTATTTATTTTTTTGACTGGATTGCATTATTCTTTTTTTTAAACCATTTCCTGCCTGCTACATAGCCTTAGCGCCTTCTGTTTTGTTCACAGTGCATGTCCGAGTGCCCTATTTTTCATCCATTCTCTTCCTCCTTTTCCTCCTCTGTCAATCTGCAGTCTCTTCTCCTTTCTAAATAAGCATTGCGTGTCCTGCTAGATGCATTTTACACAATAGAACTGATGAGGCGTGATTCTGAAATAAAATGACAATCAGGAAAAAGACTGATGAAGATCCCGGAAGTCTACTTACCAGCTGAGGATGTATCAGATGGCGACTGCAGTGACTGGAGTGAAAGGGGCTCCCCGAGACATGGTGTCAGAATGACTCACAATTCCCGGCAGAGGCTGTTGAGACAGCGAAAGAAATTAACAGCTGTGTCTTAATTGATAGCACACGCAACGTCAAGCACACATTCTGTCTCAAGGAAACACGTCTTGGCTTTCTTGAGACAACTTAGGAAGAATGATCCCACATTGGCATCCTTGGATTTAATAATCACTCCTTGGTCCCACCTTTATCCTCTTCTTCCATTAATCACACACAGGTTATGTTCCTACGTGGGCTCTCTCTGACTGTTGGGGAGACCTATCTGGTGCAGTGGGAACTGGAGCCGAAGGAGAACAAACGCTTTGACTGCCATCCAGAGGAGCATGCGGATGAGGCTAATTGCAAGGCCAGAGGCTGCATCTGGGAGGTGAGGGGTGACACAGATGAGGTTCACATGCAAAAAAAAATATTATTTCTGTTTTCTCTCACTAAACAACTGGATTGTTTTTAGAAATCTGCAAAAATCTGATATGCTTTCTGTCCCCATCAGCCAACCAACATTGAACGTGCTCCATGGTGCTTCTATCCAGATGACTATGGCTACTCCATCACAACATCCGAAGAAACCAACTCAGGCATCACAGTTGATATCACTCGGAACAAGAAGTACATGAGCAGTGGTCGTCCAGATTCACCAGACATTGACAAGCTCCGTGTTGAGATCAGATACCACAGCAGAGACATGCTGCATTTCAAGGTGTGTGTTTGTGCCAGTAGTGGTGCATTCTGTGGTGTATCATGACTATTTTTGCTTTATTTCCATGCATCCATCTTGCTTGCGCTCCCTCCCTGTCCAGATCTGGGACCCAGCCACAGATCGTTATGAGGTTCCAGTGCCACTGTCACTTCCCACTCTTCCTGAGACTGACAAGAGCAGGAGGCTTTACAGGGTCGAAATTACCAAGAACCCATTCGGCATCCAGGTCATAAGGAAAAGCACAGGAACCAAGATGTGAGTGTTTCGGTTGTACAAGTGGCTCAGGTGGGCTGAGGTTGTTGGTATGAGTTCAGGATATTTTATTCTGTATTTTGAGTTTTGGGTTTGTTACTGTTGTTTTCAGGGTATCTGTCCTCAACCTTTCTGAAAAACAATGTGTGTCCATGAAGTTAGCTTTTAATGTCAATGTTGTTTTTAATGTTCTAATGTTGTAAAGTTCCAGTTTCACATTTGGATTTTCTTAATTCTAAAAAAAAAAAAAAAAGAATAATCTTACTATATAATGACGAAAACTCTGTCTGTCTGTGTGTGTGTCTGTTCCACATTTTTCTCCTCACTGACTTGGTCAATCCATGTGAGATTTGGCACAGTGGTAGAGGGTCATGGGAGGATCCGAATGAAGCAATATTACATCAATTGGCCAAAGGGGGGCGCTATAGCAACCGAATGAAATTGCAAACTTTGAAAGGGCATATGTCATGCCCCGTATGTCATAGAGACATGAAACTTTGCACAGAGATGCCTCTCCTCATGAGGAACACATTTGCATCAAGAACCCATAACTTCCAGTTATATAGATTTTCCGCCATTTTGAAAAACACTTAAAATCGGTCTCTTCCTAGGAAGTTTGACCGATCTGCATGAAACTGGGTGAACATAATCTAGGGACCAATATCTAAAGTTCCCTCTTGGCAAAAGTTGGAAAACTTACTAAAACTGAGCTTCTATAAGGCAATGAATATTGTGGAGGGCGTGGCTCATCACATAAAGGTGTATAACATCTCAAGGGTTTCACCGATCACCACGCAACTTTGTAGGCATATGACCACACATAATCTGAGGGGATCCCTCCATTATTGACCCCATCAAACAAAATGGGGGCGCTAGAGAGCTAATTTCTTATCTAGGCCTAACCACCATATCAATTTTTACTAAACTTGGTAGATATGTAGAACAGGACGCCTCAAGGTGACTGGAGAAATTTAACTCTAATTGGCAACTGGGTGGCGCTATAACAACAGAAAAATGCTTAAAAATGGCTAAAATGCGACCGATCACTGTGGCTCCCCCTGTGGACCAATGTTTTTTTTTTTTTTTAATTTTTGGTATGACTAAGTCATGGTATGGTATGCTGTAGATAACGCCTAAAGTAGTTTCCTCTTGTTCAGCAATCGCGATGATGTCACACAAAGCAGTGGAGCATCAGAGAGTCTTTTCAAAGCATATCTTTAAGCAAGGGTGACATTATTTTGCAGTTAAGCCTTCCACGTCTTTTTTTTTTTCAGAAGTGTCATTTGAAATTTTACTAATTAAAATTTATGAAGTATGTTGAAGGGATGCCTGCAGTTCCTGCGGGTTATTATGCTTATTTGTGTCAAACATATTGTGAATAACTCCCTTTGACAATAATTCCCTCTCCTCCTCTCTCTCCATCCTTTATTGATTTAATCCTCTGTCACTTTTCTCAGCTGGGACTCCTCTGTGCCAGGTTTCACATTCTCAGACATGTTCATCCAAGTGTCTACTCGACTGCCATCAGAGTTTGTCTACGGCTTTGGAGAGACGGAGCATCCTACCTACAAACACAATCTCAACTATCACACCTGGGGCATGTTCTCCAAGGACCAGCCTCCTGGTGTAAGTATCACACTGAAGCACATGTATGCACACACATGAAAACATCAGTGCAGCACTCGTCCTTATCAGATGCATCTGTTGTGTCACACTGCCGTTGATGCATAGCTCGCTAACATGGCATCTGTTTAAAAGACTGTTTGACTGGTCAGGATTTCCATGAACAAATTTTGACATTGATCTAGAAATGTTTTCCCACATCCTTTTCAAAGCATTGGCATCTTCCATCAAAACCAATTTTGTGCTTGTTATTGCATATGCAGCAAAGCGCCCTGCACTGAAAGTCTTTATCATCACACCCTCTAGAGACTGCAGAGGTGACTTGTAAACAACCTTCCAGCACAGTATGTAAACTCGTCTTTCTCACATTCGTGTCACTTTGATGTGGCGTCGTTGATATGAGCAGCAGTTATAGAGTGTCATCGTGTTTTCCCTACTGGTGTCAAGGCCAGACAGGATGAGGTTTCCACCTGCATCAGCATTATCAAGCCTAATTGCTGAGCTGTCAAGACAGCTCCACAGGGTTCAGACAAATGTTATGGGGCCCCTCGGAGAGCAAGGGAATTAGAGTTAGGAGAAAAAAAATAAGAAGGGAAAGCGGATGAAAATGAGAAAAATGTATAGAGCAGACAGGGTGACATGGACTCTGTATTTACACAGTCTTTGATATACTAATATTAAACCGGATGAGACAACACTTTAAATAGGAGTTTGCGACTTAAATACATTTTTAGGTCAGAGTCAGAGAAATCACAGTCACACTAATACGTGAAGCATTAAATTCTAGTCACATTACTCAGAGAATAACTAAATCCACATTTTTTAAATTAACAAATTATATTTAAAGTCACTTTATTACAATATTAATTTATCATATAGTAGTCTATAGTGTTACAAATACAATACAGTAATTGTCCTCTTGAGCCCCTTAAAAATCTATGACAGTTTCTGGCACGTCACAAACCCAAACTACGAGGCAGCAGTATGCAGTTGTAATGTGAAAAGACATGGAAAGAGTGAGTGTGAGCAACTGACAGTAGTAGTAATAAAAATACTCCGGCTCATTCATATCTGTCACTCTCAGTTGCCTCTGGTGCACCTGCTAAGGCCTCATGTCTTGCCTGGCAGTGAAGGTGGAGACTTGGGCATTTGAAGTCACTGTGTCGGCTGGTTTAAAGAAAAGACGTTTAACGATCGTGCGGGTGAATCGCAGGCCGTGTTAAAGTTAAAACAGGGTGTTAACTTGTGTCTTAAAGGAACACTTCACCCACATAATGGTCATCTGTATATCAGTTATTCACCCTGTGTCATGTTGGATTCTTGAAGAAAACTTTTCTCACATGCCTCCACAGTGAGTGAAAGATCGAAAAATGGAAAAAAAAAAAAAAATCTGCATGAAGTGGCGTAAAAGGGAGGAGGGCATTTAACAACAGCAGAACTTGATCAAAAAATTACTGCTTGATAATTTAAGTATCTATTTATTTATTTTCTCCAAAAACGATCTAAAAATACACATTTACATAAATCCAACATATTATTAGTACTGATAAATTGACCTATTCATAAAACCCATTTAATTTACGGTACACAACATTAATGACAGGCTAACTGTTACCCATGAATCGTTGTACAATCATGTGAGCTAGCTAATGCTAAATTACTGTGCAGCAATGTTTTTCGGACTCTGCAGCACCTATACATAATGACAAGGTGAACTAGTTACATACTTTTGCAACATATTGACCAGTTAGCTGTATTATTATTCCAAGTGTACAGACATTCTTGTGAGCCACAATGAATCGTTATGTACATTTTTGAGCAAGAAACTCTCATGCTGCCATGCTGCAACTGCTGCTGACTTGGGCGAGAGCAAATGAGGGAAGACCTGAAATCTTTTAGTTTTAAACAATATATGTAAAAGGGGGTCCCTGTTTCATCTCTGTTCTAATGTGTGTCTGGCCTGAAAAAGGTTAAAGACCACTGTTTTAAGTCGACAGAAAGCACTATCCAGGTAACTGACAACATAGGCCAAAAAATGTTCCTCCGGAAGACATTAAGGACCTTTTTTCATATGTTACCTCACACAGTGACAGCTTACCTGCTCCGAACTGTAGTTGGGAACACGCTGGCTTATTAACATTTAATTAGCTTTACGTGTTATTAGCTGTTAACTAGCTTCTAGCGCTCTGGGCCACTCTGCAGAGGGAAGGATGGTGAGGCATTCGGGAGCCATTCACAACAATGGCTTTATTGCAGTCTTGACCACAAAACAACTAACATGGCCTTCTCATAAGGTTGAACAGCAGCCCTGAGCTTATCTAGACACTGAATTCTGATGACTAATATCACTATTTGCTGCTTGCGTCTTCACCATGACACCCCGAGAGAGCTGCTTCCCTCCATACACATTACACCCTCACAGGTTACACACAAGGCCACTGCCCTTGTGTAGGGTAGGAATTTTTCCCATCTAGTGTTGAGATTGTATATTACATCAAACGGATAGCACACTCTAGCGCCTCACTGTTTCAAACACGTATTGCAACAATGTGTACCAAAAAGCTATGATAACATTGATGAAACCATGTCATCCGATACTTCATGGAGTATTCATTCAGGCTCCTACACAGACACACGCGACGCGAGTTGACAAACCCCCTCCTCACCATGCTGGCTGTGTTTACAACGTAGGACTGTTGGGGCGGGTGTAAATTGAAACGAACCAATCACGTCTTGTCTTTTGACAACTGTCAAGTGGCTCAACCTCACACACCTCATCCCTCTCCTCGCAACACTGCGTCGCTAACAGCTGTTAGCGACCAGCGCTGCTAACAGCACTAACAGCGCTAACTGCTGTTAGCTGTGATTCTCCTTCAGCAGCTCTCTCCACCTGGGAAAGGCTACCCCAATGTTCACCCTCGTTTTTTGAAATCGCCGGTCATGTTGCCTTTTTGCCTTTTTTCAAATGCACCGGCACTTGTGACTAGCCTGCTTGCTGCTGCTTTTCATCACTCTACCTGCAGGTGGAAACCTGAAACCGACAAGTGAAAATGCAAAAGGCGATTCCGTATTTCTCAAGTATGTCCCTGTACGTACCTGTATTTTCAAGATGGCGCACGTACAGGATGAGACACCGGTCGCAATGTATGTAAATGAGAATTTCGGAGCTTACAGACATACTTAGATACGCTGATGGAGGCAAATACACATGTGCTAGGACACACGTTTGACTGCAAAATTTGTTTGTCTCAAAGAACAACTGAAATTGTTACACATAGTGCCTTTAAAGCGGAAAAAGGGTGAGCCGGTAACATTGTTTCACCATTTACAAGACCTCTCTACCAGTAACATGTACAAACAAAAAATGGGTAGACATTTTCTGGGTGTGGCATTGCAGTGGAACCATTTTAACCTTTCTTTAAAAAATTGGCTTAGGTAACATTGTCAACAGCAGTGCCCACTGATTGTTAAGCTAGCAACACCATTGCTAGCTTTACTGACTAACAAACAATTAGACAGAAACAAAGAGATCATTTCAAAATAACAGACCCAGCAGGATACTAAACAAAGTGAACGCAAGACATATGCAGTGCAGAGCATATCATCTGATTCTGCTCTCATGGGTCTTTTTTGTTCAAAATCTGCAGACATAGCCACAAGGATACACAACTGCAGCAACATGAAAGAGAAATATGTTCTGAGGTTGAATACTTGATAGTTGAGGAAAACTTAGACTTTGTAGTGTACTCTGGGGGGATATCTCCAGTCATTAACTAGGTTGTGTGCCATAGAATATAAAGGAGAATATAAATATGAAATTTTATAAGACACAGACTAAATTGCTTATTTCAAATCCTGTTTTATTCAGAGGAGTGTTCACAGTTGAACTATTACAATCTATGCAAATGTACCCACGATGAGTGTGTCTGTGTCCATACATGTTCACTGGGAGGGAAGAGTCAAGAAAGACCGACAGGGAGAGACCAAGAACACTGTCACTGGCTGTCACTCTTTGTTAGCGGACGAGCTAATGACCTTTCTCCTCCTTGAGTCAGGCCATCGCACCATGTAGCAGGGCCACAAGGACACACACACACACACACACACACACACACACACACAGCAAGAGAAGGACACATCCAGACGAAGATGACACAGAGACAGAGCCAGTCCTCAGAGCCATTATATTACAGTTTAACAACTTCTTATGAACCAGAAGTGGAGGAGGCTGATGGAGTGTGACGTGCCCATGAGTTTTAGTTGCAGGGTTGGTGACATCTGAAAGTGGCAGATTTCCTGTCCCCCGCCACCTTTCTATCTGTTCCTCTTAGCCCGGTCCGTCTCGTTCCATCGTCATCTAAACTCTGAAGACAACAGTGGGACCATCACAGTCGTTACTGAAGGAGCACAGCTCTGAAACTCACCTCATTTCCACTAGAACAATATATTGTTATATATGCATAATTACTGAAGCATGCTGCAATTCTCACAGAAAAAAAATGTCTGCCTTCAGCAGGTTTAAGTGGAACAGTGTATAAGATTTGGGGGATTTAGTGGTATCTAGTGGTGAGGATTGCAGATTGCAACTAGCTGAAATTTCTACTGGTTAAAATTCCATTAATGTTTATTCTTTAGGAGGTTTTTACGGAGTCAAATTATCAGCAGAGGTCTCTTCATCTCAAAAGAAAAAAAAATGACTTGGTTATTTAGATTTAGTAAAAACACTAAATAAAACAGTTTCACGTTGAAAAAATCTGCGTCTTTCTGACACTCTTATTCCAGAGGGGCTGCTAACTACTGTTGCTAATGCTAAAATTCAAATGACCCTATCTAGAACCAGTGTTTGATTTGTCTGTTCTGAGCTACTGTAGAGATATAGATGTGCAACATGGCAATCTCTGTGGACAAGGACTCGCTCCCCATATGGATATAAATGGCTCATTCTATTCAGTTCGGTTTGGTACACACCTTTTCCGTTTTTCATCCAAACTTGTGGATGGTACCAATTCAACCATTCCTAATCATCCCCATTTTTGGTGCCCCCTCTGTTGGGGTACCTAGCACACAGATCTGGTACTAAAAGGAGCTGTGAACACTGCAGTCTGTTGATTGGTCGATGGCAGATGGTCACTCTGCTCAGGGCTGAGTTGTGACTGGTCTTGTAACCACTGTTCACCATGGCAAGTTTTACTTTAGTAAACCATACCTATAAAAATAAGGGATGTTTTTCTGCCTCTCACAGCAGCTGTAGTCGGAGAAAAAACTCGATTCACTGGAACGTCTACTTGTAATGTCACTCAGAGCATGAGTTTTTTTGTATCTTACATGACACATACTTTTAGTAATGAGTGGATCTTTAAACGTTTAAAATATATATTAATGTCAACCAGATTAAGTGAACTGCATATTCGTATCCTAACGTGGAAAAAAAAAAAAAAAAAAAACATTGGCGAACGTCATTCCCGTGGGCTCCGGCAACACTAAACCACTGCGATTGCCTGGGACGGATCTAATGCACAAACCTGCTATTTTTAAATATCCCATCAAGAGAGACTTTCACTGCAGCCTGTTCTATTTTGTTCTAAAAATGTTGACAAGCAGTCAAGTTCTGCGGACAATAAACGAGGTGCAGACGTTACAAAGTGATGAGGAAATACAGTGAGTGCTGGTCAGAGTAGTGAGTGACAACAACCCCACCCACATTAGGTACCATGTCTGAAGGGTTACTTTTGGTTCCAAAGGTACCATACCGAAAGTGTTTAGTTAAAACGGGGCTTAAGGTAACAAAAACAAAGCAATTCTAATTTCCAGGTGATAAAGAAAACACTTATTATATTATCTTCCATTTCTGCCATTGTATCCCCCTAAATCCTCCCCACTGGACCTTTAAGGAGGCATTATAAGCTATTTTTGAAAAAGCACATTAGCCAAGCTGAGCCTGATAACCTCTACACTTCAGTTTTGTCATTATTTTTAATGATCTGTAGGCTACATTTAGGACTTCCTGATATTGTTATAGCACCCAACTGCAACTCAGATACTTGCCCCAGTTCTCCGTTGATGTCTTTAAGCTTAAGCCAGAGGAATTTTTGAGGTATTTTGGAGTACTTTGGGTGCTATATCACAGAAAGTATACTGTTTATTTCAATACATGTTTCAGTCAGTGCTATTCATTTGCATAGAGGATACTTGTACGAATATGTTTTCCCCCTGCTTTTGGGGAAACCGTTGAATGTTGACAGCACTGGGACCAGGCCCATTGGAGCAGCGTTGTTGTCATACCTGTGAGAAATGCCCTGTCAGGTGTAGAGAAAAATGCTCATGAATAACAAAGTGGTGCGCAAGCAAACATTACAGTCGTCTGAGCCAGAGAACAGACCAATTCTTCAATCAACATTCACCCGTCTCACACTTTCTCCCGCATTCTTACTCTCTGTCTCTCTGCTACAGTACAAGATGAATTGCTACGGAGTGCATCCCTTCTATATGGGCCTTGAAACCACTTCTGATGCTCACGGGGTGCTGCTGCTGAACAGCAATGCCATGGGTGAGAGAAACGCTTGCACAAAGACATACATGCTTGTACATGCACATATGCCATATGCAAATGCACCAACCACTTTCACGCACACACATGATCACACTCTATTTTATTCATTTGTTTATTTGATAGGGACACAGCACATTAAAGAGCAAGATGTAAACATGCCAGAATAAGCAAGAATGCTAATTTACATCCGCAGAAACATTGAAAAAGGACAAAAATACATTAAACAACATGTCAAGTTAAAAGTGATCAAAGTTCTGGTTTGCTCTAAACCAGGGGTGTCAGACATACAGCCCAGGGGCCAGAGCTGGCCCACCAAAGGGTCCAATCTGGCCCACTAGATGACTTTGTACACCTAATTTTGATGCACTTGTGAAGGCTAAAGCCTGATTTATGGTCCTGCGGCGTACCTACGACGTATCTACGTCGTTGCCGTGACGCCATTGTGAACCCTTCGAACTTCTCCGTCACTCCATTTTGTCGCGGTGCAATTCACCGCCAGAGTGGTAGGGGGCTGCGTTCCTTTCCTGAATGGTTATCGTCGTCTCTTGCGGATTCTTTGTTTAGCTTCCGGCTTTTCCGGTCACAGAGAAATGAACGCGGAGCACGGACAGACGGCTCCTGTCCGTATCCGTATTGAATGTTGAGCATAAATGGGCCTTAATACTGCAACATCTACATTGCAACAGAAGATGTTTAAAGATGGCGGGGATGGCGCAATCTGGAAATACGGAACCGTAAATGCGTTGCTACCAAGCAAACCAATCAGCCCTCTTGGTCTGCGCTGGGTCTGCGTTGCCTCGACGTGTAGTTACATTTTTAGGGAGGTGCACGTCACGCTACGCCGGGGCTATGGCGAGCCTTCTGCGTAGCCACATACCCTACGACGTAGTGACTTCGTTGAGGAGCAAGTCAGGAGCAAGTAAATACTTCATGTAAAATGCTGCTTCAGAGGCTTTTCCACCCTGACCAGAACACAGCTCTCTGAAATAACAATGAATACTTACTGTGGTCATATTTAAAGATATTGAACATATTTTTCTGAGGATATCACAGGCTGATCATCATTTGTTTTCTAAATGGATGGTTATTATGCAATGGTTTTCCTGGTCCGGTACCCTGGAAATCCAGAGTTCTCGCGAGAGCACAGTTTGAATTTACTCAGCGAGTCACTTTGGCAATTTGTAATGATGCTCATTACCCATGCCGTTGGAGCCGAGCTGCACCAATCACATCGGTGTATCTGATATAGGCGGGCCAGAGGCAAGCTAAACAGATGACAACAGCGCTGCGACGACGAAGTCCGGAATCAGTCAGTAAACGTTGTTAGATGGCTACGGATGAACACCAGTTGTTTGAAACGGCTTTGGCCGCTACAGTGAACGAGTTAGACTTGGCTTTTTCTCTAAAAGAGGAACAGAAGACGGCACTCAAATCTTTTCTTTGCAAGAAGGACGTTTTTGCTTTTTTGCCGACCGGATACGGCAAGAGTCTAATCTATTGTTCTGATTGGTTGTAGTGTTATCCAATTGCGTGCAGTGATATTTTCAAATGCATGCTTGGTGCCACCCCACGAGTTGGGCCATTTTCATTACTCATAGCCAGACCCTAAATCTTTCTAGATTTGGGTCTGGATTTCCAGGCTACTGGTCCGGCCCACTTGAGATCAAATTGGGCTGTATGTGGCCCGTGACCTAAAATGAGTTTGACACCCCTGCCTTAAGCCATTGTTTGAAATGGATCTTAAACGTGGGATGTGTATGGCACTCCTATTGAGCAAGCAGTAGGCCATTTCAATATGTACTTCCCTTCAATGACAGCACAGTTTGTTCAAATGAGGTGCACCTATATGGCACCTCACATAATTACATATGAAGGAGACGACTTTCCATAGTTTGAGCAAATGTTATTTGACAGGGAGTCTTATATAAGGCCAAGACAGCACAATGCACACTTTCTACTCATCTCTGCCTTTGTATCTTTACAGACATAACAGGAACACACTTTAAAAAACAGGCAAATTAACATGCATTACACATACACACAGGTACTGCTGTGCTTATACATTTCGCATTTTAAGAGCTGAGTTATTCATTCTGCATAAAGCTCTTCTAAAGCAATTTCATGTGATCTAATTTAACTGTCTTCTTGAAAAAGTTGAAGAAATACCAAGTTTTTTTAATGCAGTTATCTTAAAGAGGCTCATACTATATATCTATGTTGTTCCACATCTCTTCCTGCCTCCCCACTCTGTTTGCTTAGTCTTCAAGTGCTAAAACATGCATATGGCACACATCCTAAATGAGCATGGACACACAGTGTACATACCACTTCGTATTCATTTTTAATGTTATTTGCTTTGTGTCCAGATGTCACTTTCCAGCCTACTCCGGCTTTAACTTACCGAACTCTGGGAGGCATCCTGGATTTCTACATGGTCCTAGGACCTACACCTGAAATGGTGGTGCAGGAGTACACTGCAGTAAGTCTTCTCGGACTTGTGGTCTGCTTGTGTGTGTAACTGTGTGCATTCGTGTGTGCTCCTGCGCCTGTGCGTGTGTGTGTTTTGTGTCTGGCCCTGGGCCGCTGTTGATGGACTGCAGCAGCTGGGAGTTCCTCGCTTCATTGCGCTCTCTCATTTAGCCTATCTAAACACACACACACGCACACACACATACACACACACACACACACACACACACACACACACACACACAGACAATCAAACAAACACTTTATGGACGCCGTCCTGTTTTCCTGCAAAACAACTTTTTCTGTGCTGAACTGTTTTGACTTCCTTGTTTGTTTTTCTTCTTAACAGCTGATTGGACGACCTGTTCTACCTGCCTATTGGTCCCTTGGGTTCCAGCTCTGTCGCTATGGTTACGCCAATGACACAGAGATAGCAGAGCTATACCGAGACATGAGGGCAGCGGGTATACCCTATGTAAGTTCCTGGACAAATACCTTTTTGGGATATTTAAATTAAAGATAACAGCAGCAACAGACACAAGAGTACAGAACACAAAATAAAAATAATAAATAATAAATAATAATAATAATAAATAAATAAATGCATAAAAAAAACACTACAAGAAAACCTAAGTCCTCATCCCTTATGTTAAAGAATAAGAGAATATTTTGGGACACACTGCCGATGCTGCCCACTTGCATCATATACATTTATATTTCAGTATGTTTTCTTGCTCATGCCGAAACACTGATTTCATCCCAACACAAGGAATTATGTTATTGCTCATACATACAGATGCAATCTGATAGCTTCTTCTTGTCCACTGTAGGTCATACACTATAGAGACATGCACTCAGTGGAATAGAATGAGCTCAGTCCAACACAATATCTACCCATATATTACCACAGATTCCACTGTATGCGGACAATAACTACATAAAACTAAATTAGATGAAATAAGTTATTGGGATAAAGCAAAATAGAGACATTGACTTCATGGATTACTTTGGTTTAACCTAATAAAATATGACCTCTAATATCATTTGAAATCCATTCAACTGTAGGTTTCACAGCTCCTCCAGACGTTTCCAGTTTGTACCAGAACCTGTAATTTTCTCTGACAGTAAAATCTGGGGTTCACATTTAAATAACAATATTCATCTGGGACAGCATTGTGTCTGACATGGAAACAGACCAGGATCCCATCCTCGTCATCATGCAGAACGGAACACAAGAATTTCCATCGATAATCAAGTGATCCCCTAAATGTGCTTTCACAAAGGCCTAACTTGCAAGGCGCTGACGCCAGCCAAAAAGAATCCTGCATCATTAACTGGAATAAAAGAAGCAGAAAATACAGCTGCTAACAAAAGCTACACGGCAGCTAAATTAACAGAATGAATTACCCAGTGTTTCTCAACCTGGGGGTCCTGACCCCCCAAGGGGGTCGCAAAATAATTTCTGGGGTTGCCAGATAGTTGTGGAGAAAAGAAAATTAAATAACATATTTGGGACTGGGGAAATCTTTTTGAATTACTCTGCCTGTACCAGTGATATAATTAGCTTTAGAGAAGATTTTATTGAGTGTGGTTGTGAGAGTCAGTACCGGCCTTCATGTCATTCACCAGCTTACAAAAGTGCCTTCAACAGCTCGTCCAGGCTGATGGCAGCACCCAGGAGGTCCCTCCTGTTTGCTTCAGGAGCACTGGAGAGATGCAACCAAATATTGCTGTGAATCATATTTTACATGTGCATGCATTGATATGAGTAAAGGAGGTTTGGGGAGGGCCTATTCGCAGGCCCTATTAGGGGCCCAGCCATTTCTGGGGCTGGGCCTGCCAGCAAGGAGATGATGTTGACCGTTACCGACACCTTAAACACTGTGACTGATGTTAGTGGCCAAAAATCCACAGTGCCAGGAGCACATTGGACAACGCCTAGGTGCTAACTGTTAAAACTAAACAAAACTATTATTATCACAGGACAACATTATTATTATTTATTTATGTATTTTAAACAGAGCATTCACAATAAATACTCAGAAATCAGCAGGGGTAGGTGCATAGAAGCAGCTGTTTACATTGGTTTGCAGGTCTTTCTCTTTTTCATGTGTCTATTAAACTTCTCTATATTTCAGTACTATAAACAGAATGAAACCTACACACGCATCCCCTAATTGAGTCATTATCTTCACCTTTTAACGCCCACTTGCTTAGCTGTGGGGCTTACAGTAATCATATGCCACAATATTTAGACACCAAAACGCATTAAACCACATGCAAGCATACAGTGCATCGACCTGTAGATGTGGGGCTAAAAATATATATTTAAAAAAAGAGGTGCAAACAGTTTATGAGCAACTAATGTGTTTGCATCGAGGTGTTGTGCGAACATAACCTCCCCACTCTCATATCTCAGGTGTTGCATACCATATGTTAAGAGAGATTTCCACATTTATTAGATAGAATCTCAACACTGTAACAAAATGTTCAGTGGGAGTTAACAGTTGCACAGAATCCCTTAAAAGGTTTCCTTTGTTAAGGAAAAATGTTAACTCACAGAGATGTTAGAGAGGTACAAGTTTCCATGGAGATTGTTTGTTTGACTGGACTCACACTTCTGATGTCTATTATTGTCTCACAAAGTTGGCGTATGGTTAGATATTGGAAAAATGGCATAAGAAAAGAAGACAAGAAAACCATATAGGTTAGGGGAGGAAAATATTATACTTCTAGAGGAATACAATCATAGAAAGCACAAACTACAAAGTAAATTTGATCTACAGAAACAGAAAGCAACTGTAGGAAGAAATTGCAATGAAAATTAATTCAGTCAAATCTATGATGTAAAATCAAAAGTGTGTCCATTGGGTTCTCCTGGTCACAGAAAACCCTTCTCGGGGTGTATTTGTTTTTTTCACCTACCGCCATAAACGAGGTCATGTTGCAGTGAAGAGGTTTTGTTTTAGATTGCCACCTTGGTTTGGTTGCTTTGGTGTTTTGTGCAACGGTCTAGGGGTTCCTTAAGTTTAACACACAAGGAGAGTGAACACTTAAAGGAAACCTTAAGGAGAAGACTTAAGGGTGTTTCCAACACATTCTCACTCCAACCTCGTCACATATTGACGTTTTGGTCATGAACTTTCCCTGTCCACATACGATGTGAAAGGTACCCTGGGTGCTTTGGTTGTTGACGTTCTGGGACACCGTGTGAAGGTCTCTTCTTTCAAGATACACTTTATTTTCACAGGAAATTTAACGCTAACATACAATATCTTTCAAAATAAACACACTATGTCGGTACAACACAGCTAATTGACATTTTTTTTTCCTTCAGCAACAAACACATGGTTGGGTTTAGGCAACAAAAACATGTGGTTAGGTTTAAGCAACAAAGGAAGTGTTTAGGTGTAGGAAAAAAGAAGGAGGGTTTGGCTTTAGAATGTTACGGGACACAAACACCACTCTCCCGGGTGAAAGTCGATGTTTGTTGAACCCATCCACCACCCCTCCCACCTGCCCCACTCGGACTTTCGCCGCCTTAACTTTCATCCTTGTCCTGTCGCATTTCCCCCTGACGCCGCCGGGCGCCATTGAACTATAAGGGCAACTGGCCGCATATCATGCCAACGTTAAAGGACGCCTTGTTTTGCTGGTATCTGACACCGCAAGTCACTGCCCAAGTGCCGGATTTCGATGACATCAGAGTGAGACCGTGCTCATGTTTCATGCAGCTGATTTTATTTTGAGGAAACCTTTAGTAGGACTTTAAGAAAAATCTTAGTCCTTGGTGTTCGGTGCAACCAGCCCCAGCTCTTTACCAGCTGCTCAGTTCTGGGAGATGAAAATCTATGTCTCTTACAGTGATTTTGTTATGCTGATGGCTAATTTAATACAGGAAGATATTACGCTTCAAATTATCCCTCTGTGTATGAATTCCTGATGATATTTTTGACAAAAAAAAAAAAAATCTAGTTTACCTTGAGTTAATTTGAGTTTGAATTTCTGTCTGCTGCAGGATGTGCAATATGCCGACATTGACTACATGGACCGTCAGCTGGACTTTGTTCTGGACCCAGAGTTTGATGGACTGCCTGCTCTGGTTAACCGCATGAGGGGAGAGGGCATGAGGTTCATTTTCATTCTGGTAATGGCATTATGTCATAAACTATTGATACAGTCACATGATTGGGTACCCAAGGATCAGCAACTATAGGGCAGGTGTAAATTTTACATAGAGACATAAGAAATAAAGCTGAATGTTAAATTACTGAGTCACCAGCCAGTCTCTACTACATACTAAAGAGTTGTGTGTATTTAATTCCAGGATCCAGCCATCTCAGGCAATGAGACACGTCATTACCCTGCCTTTGTGAGAGGTAAAGCAGCGGATGTCTTCATTAAGTGGCCCCAAAACATCAGTGATGAAATTGTGTGGGGGAAGGTAAGAGGGGTTGGATGTGGATTTTTGTGGGATGAGATCAAAAACAACAGACTAAATAATGTGTATGGTAGTACGGTATAATTTCTACATAATGTGTTTGGGGTTTTTTGGCAGGTTTGGCCAGATTACCCCAATGTCACAGTAAATGAAGATCTGGACTGGGATACCCAAGTAGAGGTACAATATTTTCCATATTACGTTGACACATAACACTTCCTGTATTCACATATTCTATTCATAAAGTGCATGAGATCTTAAAGACTTGGTTGGTCAGTTTAGTTTTCATTTGACTGTCTCATTTCCAGTTGTACAGGGCGTACACCGCATTCCCCGACTTCTTCCGCAATGAAACAGCAGCGTGGTGGCAACAAGAAATCAAGGACTTCTATAAGAACACAACATTTGACGGCCTTTGGATTGTGAGTGACCTGAAGAAAACATTTTAATAAAATCATTACCTCATCCTGCGTGATATTCTTTTCACTTTAATTTCTGTGTCATCTGTAGGACATGAATGAACCTGCCAGTTTTGTCCACGGCACAGTCGGAGGAAACTGTCTTGGCAATCCTCTTCTAGAGAACCCTCCATATATGCCACGTAAGACACACAATCCTATGTTTTGTTCTTCTTATGCTGTGATTAGAATGTAAAGCCATGATGTCAACATTAGGAGTATGCCTGCAAATACTTTGAGGTGTTTGTTTTCACGTGTGCGTCCATCCTTAAAGTGCTGGAGTCCAAACATCGTGGCTTAAACCATAAGACCCTGTGCATGAACAGCGAGCAGATACTCAGCGATGGAACGAGAGTCAGACACTACGACGTCCACAACCTCTACGGCTGGTCACACACCAAGCCTACCTATGAGTAAGTGAATTATATTTGTGTGCCTGTCTATGTGTGTCCAAATAAATGTGTTTGTATTGCCTAATAGGTGAGATTAAGCTTAATGTGCCAATCCTACATCATCTGAGTACAGTCACAAAAGGAAAAGAGAAGAGGAAGAGCGCAGCAGCTATCATTGCAAAAGCTTTTAGGAGGAAATTGCAGCCACAGGAAACTGATATCTTCCAGCTATCAGCAGAAATACAGTCTCATCAAATCTTTCTGATAATAATCACTAATGTGAAACTATATTGGGCCTTGTGGTGAAATTTTCCTCTCACCACAGGGAGGCCAGATTGCAGAGTAAGCTGCAGAAGTGCCCAGGGATGCCCGGCACCACTGGGCCTTGAGCCCAGGTGCTTTATTGTAGGAATTGTTTCATTTTTAGCACCGTGCTGAATTTAACAATCGCAATTAATGGGCTAATTCACTTCCAAAATGAATGTACTTTATTTAAGGGGGGAGAAGACACTTTTACACTCTATGTGTTGTGAGTTTATCTACGTCTCTGTGTTATTTGGAGGAGTAAAACAAAAGTCTCTCTTCTCTTTGCAGCGCCCTGCTGAATGTAACAGGTAAAAGAGGCATAGTGGTGACAAGGTCCACTTACCCCTCTAGTGGAAAATGGGCTGGACACTGGCTGGGAGACAATGCTGCAAACTGGGACCAGCTATACAAATCCATTATAGGTACATACAGACATACACAGAACACGTATGATAAGGGGTTGATGTGACAACACAATCATCAAAATAAAAGTTGGCATTGTACTCTTCTGCAACCACAGATAAGTAAAAACTGTCTGTTATTTTGGAGAAAATGCACTCACTGGCCACTTTATTAGGTACACCCATTCAACTTCTTGTTAATGCAAATAGCTAATCAGCCATTCGCATGGCAGTGACTCAGTGCATTTAGGCATGTAGACATGGTCAAGACGACCTGCTGAAGTTCAAACCGAGCATCAGAATGGGGAAGAAAGGTGATTTAAGTGACTGTGAACGTGGCATGGTTGTTGGTCTGAGTATTTCAGAAACTGCTGATCTACTTCACACACAACCATCTCTAGGGTTTACAGAGGATGGTCCCAAAAAGAGAAAATATCCAGTGAGCAGCAGTTCTCTGGGTGAAAATGCCTTGTTGATGCCAGAGGTCAGAGGAGAATGGCCAGACTGGTTCAAGATGATAGAAAGGCAACAGTAACTCAAATGACCACTGGTTACAACCAAGGTCTGCAGAAGACCATCTCTGAACCAACAACAC